CCCAGGAGGCAGGGATGGCTACCAACAAGTTTGTTAAGAGAGCTGGGAATAGTAGCTCGGCGGGGGACGACTACAGTTCCCAGGATTATTTCAGTGGAAGTGAGTGTGCTTTAAATGTATGGTGTGTGTGCAGCCTTGGTTTGTAAATTGCAAACTGGGTAGGTTCCTTTTAAAAATGCAGCATGAACAAAACCCTTCAAGGCTAAAGTACTGTATTTTTCACTCTATAGGACGCACCGGACCGCTCCCCGGGCTTCGGGCTGCAGGCAGCTATCCGCAAGCCTGCGGAGCCCAGAGGGAGTTCCCGCCGGGCTTCGCAGGCTTGCAGATAGCTTCCTGAAGCCTGCATTCGCTCCATAGGACGCACACACGTTTCCCCTTCATTTTTGGAGGGGGAAAAGTGCATCCTATACAGCGAAAAATACGGTATTTTCCATTGCCTTATTGCATCAATGCAGGAGCAGTCCTGGTAAACGAGATAGCAGTTTTCAGACTCTAAACCTGATTTTCTCTCATCCCTGCTTACAATTTCCATCACCTCCCCCCCATGCTGTCTGATCCAGGGAACGATGGTGATTCCTTCGCTCACTTCAGTGCTTCTGGATCCAAGTCATTGGGAGACCCCTCACGAGTTCAACCCTAACCACTTCCTTGACGCCGATGGGAAGTTTGTCAAGAAAGAAGCCTTCATGCCTTTCTCCTTAGGTACTTCCCCCCCCCCCCACAAATACATATTTATTAAATTTCCACTTTAAACAAAGAAAAAAACAATAAATTTCAACAATCATTCACACAACTTCTTTTCCACCGCTCTGCCGAACGAAGACTTCCTTCCCTTCCTCCAACAGGTTTTCCTATTCCAATCTGCGTCTCGCGGTTTCCTCATATTTTGTCAAGTCCACACTGTAAGACTTATTTCAATCCTGCTAGTCTCTTCAAACTTCTACAGTTATTATTTATGTAGTCTATAAATTTACTCCAGTCTCTTTGGAATTTTGGTTCCTCCTGATCTTAGATCCTGCAGGTCAGTTTTGCCAATTCCGCGTAATCCATCATTTTCGTCTGCCACTCCTCCAGTGTTGGTAACTCCTGTAATTTCCACTTTGGGGCTAATAACGTTCTGGCAGCGGTTGTTGCATACATAAATAGTCTTTGGTCCACCTTTGCAATTTCCTCTCCCATCAAGCCCAGCAAAAAACCTTCTGGCTTTTTGGGAAAGGTGTATTTAAACATCTTTTTCAGTTCATTAAAAAACCCTTCCCAAAATCATTTTGTTTTCTCACATGTCCACCACATATGATAAAAGTCTCCATCCTTCTCTTTACATTTCCAGCATACTTTATTACTTCTCCTTAGGTACTTAAAGGGGTTCGTTCGTCTTGGCGGTATAAATCTGTTGAAAAATTATCAGCCACCCTTTGCAGTGTTGTGATGGGGCAGGAGCTGTATCTTGAGAAATTCTCCCTTCTCTGCAGCTCTTAAGATGGAGCCCCCTCACGTGGTCTGGAACAAGTAACTCCCTTGCATTGGGAGCAAGGTGTGTGGTTATTGGCAAAGTATTTATACGGCCCTGTAGGCTGCTCCAAGTGTGAACTGTTCGTATCTTTTATAATTCTTCCAGCAGCCTTGTAAGGCTGGCCAGCCCTTTAAACCCCATACAATGGTACCTCGGGTTAAGTACTTAATTTGTTCCGGAGGTCTGTTCTTAACCTGAAACTGTTCTTAATCTGAAGCACCACTTTAGCTAATGGGGCCTCCTGCTGCTGCCGCACCGCCGGAGCACGATTTCTGTTCTCATCCTGAAGCAAAGTTCTTAACCTGAAGCACTATTTCTGGGTTAATGGAGTCTGTAACCTGAAGCGTATGTAACCCGAGGTACCACTGTATTGCAGATGAGGCCGAGGTGAGGGGTGACTGGATCACTCTATTGCTAGCCAATGCCAGTTTTGCATGTACATTCACAAAGGGCCTTCCTATCCTGTTTCCACACTATAATGAGATTTTGAAAACTGCATTGTAAATGTATTTTTTCCACAAACATAGTCAGGTGTGCGTTTTACCCTAAAATGTTCGTTTTGTTTTTTGTTTTTTGTTTTATTGAATTATGCAGACAGCAAAACAAAGAAGTCTAAATTAACATTGCCTTCTACCGATAAGAAATAATAATAACTATTACAATAATGAAAATACTAAAAGTACATTTAGTTCCGCTTTTAAACTTCTATTCTGGTTACAATATATTACTATTCTATAAGAATCTATTATAGCCTTTGCTGTCCCATATATTATTTCCCAAATTCAACCTAACCCTCCCCTCCTCCCCACTGCTTACCTTCACCTGTGTGAAATCTTCCCATCATAATATATTTTTTCTAGTTGCTTTGATAAAATAGAGTAACTTGAAAACTGTTAAATTATAATTACTTCTTTTGTCCTTACACACTTAACAATTTGTTAAGCAATTGCTAAAATGTTCTTTTTGTAGGCATTTCCCTACCCTGTAATATACCCATTTTTGAACACATTTCTGCTTCTTTTTAACAGTGCCTTTTGGTACATTTCCTAAGCTACGGCACGCGATTCAGAGAAGTGCAAAGGGCGGGAGGGCTCTTTTCAAGGCGTGCCACCAGTCAACTCCCAATTCTTTTTCGGTTTTGCAGGGCGCCGAAATTGCATCGGCGAAAGCTTGGCCAAGATGGAACTTTTCTTGTTCTTCACGGGACTGCTGCAGAAATTCACTTTTCAGCCGCCACCAGGGCTTACGGAAACTGACTTGGACTTGACCGTTCCTAAGACGACCTTCACTTTGAGGCCGCAACCTCAGCTGACTTGCGCCATTCCCCAGGAGTGAAGAGAGGACATTGCGATGAGATAATCCACACACTATGAGGGGGAACTCAAGTAGGGCATTCCTTTTGGCGGAGCAGGAAGTGATGGATCAGTACCTTAGCAAAGCTAGAGTTGCCATGGGGTGTATGCTTGAGAGGTAAATGCAACTGGTCCCAACAAACTTGACTTTTCCCATGCTTGTCATACTTTTAAATATATGCATAACAGCTAAAGCATGTGGGAAAGCAAACGTCCTATACTTGGACTTTCGGAAAGCTTTTGCTAAAAGGGTGAGTTCGATATTGGAGATCATTACAAAAAGGATTGTGAAAATAAAATTATAGGTACCATCATGCCTTTATAGAAACCTATAGTGTGCCCACACTTGGAATACTCTGTGGAATTAGGATTGTTGCACCTCAAAAAGGATATTGTAGATCTGGGTAAAGGGCAGGAAAGCACAACCAGAATGATTAGAGAGTAGAGGAGCTCCCCTGTAGAGAAAGAGGCATGATGTTTGGGGCTTTTTAGGTTTTTGTTTGGGGGGGGGAGAGTATTCAAAAGATCTTAGGTTTTGTTTCCCTTAATCGTTGCTGCTTCCCAGAGGCGTGATAATTAATAGCAGTACTCAACACCAAAACCCGTTCTCAATTCCCAATTCAGAGACTCTGCTGCCTCCCTGCTGCTAGTCGAGGTCACAGCAAGCACTTTCCCAAAACATTTTCTGCTAATAAATTTACACTTGGGGTTCTAAAATCCACAATTACTGAGTCCATTTTGTTCTCATATTCTGCTGTCCCAGGACTATACTTCCTGCCTATTTTGGATCTAGAGTCACATTAAAATTTATTAATGGAAAATAGACTACGGAGAGGTATTCCAGCCCCTTGTTTGCAGGTTCACAGCAGATTCAAAAATACTGAAGATGCTTTGAAAAAACAAGGAACAAAGATTATGACGGTTATAAGAAGCCACGTGGAGAAGAAAGGTTTATCGTACTCTCAATGTCTTGTTTTCAGATCATGATCTATGGTTTCAGCCAGGGTAAACCACTCACCTCACAGAGTGTTTGTTGTGGGGGAGGAAGGGAAAGGAGAATGTTAGCCGCTTTGGAACATTAACAATTTATTGCACTTGTATTCAAAATCCAATTAAAACAATTTAATTTAATTTAATTCATTCAACAAAACCGATGACCTTGATCCAGTGACACCAGCTTTTCAAAGTTTGATATTCCTTTACACCTCCAGGGCCTCCTTGCCTCTTAGTGTCCCCGGCTCCGGCCCCAGCAGTGCCACTTGCTTCGGGAATACAGTGGTACCTCGGGTTAAGAACTTTATTCGTTCTGGAGAATGTTAGCCGCTTTGAGACTCCTTAAAGGGAGTGAAAGGCGGGATATCAAATCCAAACTCCTCCTCTTCTTCTTCTTCTTCTTCTTTGGGTGGTAACCCAGATGTTTGTGTGCTTTGTCTATTCAGAAAGTGTGGGTGATAATCAGATTCCTCATAGTGAAAATGAGTGAAAAAGGAACCTTTCTGTCAGGCGGCAAAATTCAAAAACGATATTATATAAAAAAGAGGATGGATGGCTATCTGTCAGGTTGTTTTGTTGCTGCATGCCTGTGAAGTGTTTAATGACGGGAAGAGGCACTTCACAGAGCGGTTTGCCATTAAAAAGTTCTCCTGGGATGCCTACCTCCTAAGCTGCTCACTCACCCACCTGACATTGTTTTCACACTGGAGTTAGCATGACGACAACCTTACATTTTTATGTATATAGGCAGATAAATAAATATGCTAAACAAAAGTTTGACATTGGCATAGTTTGCATCTGTTGCGCCAAGTAGCAGGTGAAGCCATGACAATGTCATGGTTCAAACCGCCAGCTTGCTTCAAAATGGCAGCCAGCATCCCAACATTGACAATACTTGCCACTCCCACCTCAGGAATCCTTGTGCCAAATTTGACAACGATCTCTTAAGAAGTGTTGAAACGCATAGAGAACAAATAGACAAACTGTTCCCCAAAATATAGAGTAGATAATAATTTTATTATTATTATTATTATTATTACCATTATGCAATTAATACACACAAAACCTCACAACATGCATTCTTGGCTGTCGTTTTAACTACCACCCTTTCCCTAATTGGATGACCAACTGAGACATTCAACAGTCAGAAGAATACAATGGCTTATTGAGTTTGGAGACTCCAGTTTGTTCATGACACTATGAAGATTTGTTCCTCTCCTTTGCAAAACGCTAACGTGGGTAAAATATATGTTTAACCAGAAACAGGAGATGCTATCCAACCAAGTCACACTCAAAAAGCCCCAAACAAATCAGTGGACTTATATAACTGAATTGATTTTAATGGGACTACGCCGGCCAGCATTGGATCCCACCCACAGCTTTACAATATATCGAAAGAATGTGGGTTTCTATTAATGCAGAGCACTTAATCAAAATCACAAACTAGCAGGGTTCATCTTACCAAGGACTAGAGGTAGTGTTCTTTTAAAAAGATGAATGGCAAAACCTTCCCAATCTTTGGAAGAGAGGAATAAAGAGAGAAGAAAGAGAGAGGAGGACGCCCCATATGAAGAATTTTTCACATGGCAGTTAGCAAACAGTACAGCTGGTTCCCATCAACACATGTCACATTGCCTTGTTCCCATTTCTAGTGCCAATTTCACATGACTGAAAATTCACCTCGGTTTTAAAACCACATGATGCATCTGTGACAGCAATCATGGGTTCTGTGATTCCATTTTGCTCCTTGGCTAAGAGCCTAGGAGGAAGACAGCTAGGATCTCCATTTGATATGGCACCCAGACTACAATGTTTCGTCCTTCTTTATGAGAGACGGTGCTGGTTTGCAGCAAGCGTTTGAATTGCATTTCCTTGAAAGGCTCCTGAGATCAGGCCCAAGCTTTTGCAATGCACTCAATTCTTTACAGGCCTCTGGGCAAGCTGCTGCTGAAACAAGCAATTGGGGAACACAGCACAGTCATTCAGGTGCTGTCTGATCACACTCAAGTGTCTAATTGTATTTTTCTAGATCAAACTGGGGGATCAATCAGGCACGTGTCTGCTGGATTTTGGAGTCACTAGCACTGCCCCCCCCAGTTTTGGATGGCACAAATGTTTGAGGAAAAGCAAACAAATCAGAATGAAAACCCAGCTGCCTGAAAGGTGCACTCGTTTTCATTGAAGGATGTGTGGATTCATGAAGACACATTTCCCATCCCAGATATGGAGCCGATAATGTTCCATTAAGTCCTCCTTTGCTGTCTCCGTGTCCTGTTAAAAGACAACATCCCTTAATAAAAACTGGTCAGGTGATGGGAGTAAACTTTCTGCCTAAGATCCTAGTGCAAAAAGCAGCTAAAATCTGAGTGAGGTTTTGCCTTTATTCATGGTTACATATCCAGCTCCTTAAGCCCAGAAGAACTAATTACTCCTATGGGGAAATGGCCCCCTGATACAGGACCTAAGCAAGGAGCAAAGCATCCTTTGAGTTAATTCAACCTTTGATTTTCTTAGTGTTGGGTGTCTGATAGGGAATTTGTGCAGTTAGAAAACCTGCTTTTTAAAGAAAAACACCAGGCAGCCATCTTACTCTGTCTAATGGTATGGCCCATAGGCGTGGACAGCCCCTTGATTCATTTGTTTCAGTGAAAGAAGGAGTGCAAATGACTAGACAAACAAATAAGGACAGGGGAGAGGTAAGTAGGCAAAATGCTAACAAAATAACCACAACAATAGTAGTCAAGAAGTCAAAACAGAAGATTTTTCCTGCAAAGTTTTTAATGTATGACATTTTAATGTATTTTTAATCTTTGTTGGAAGCTGCCCAGAGAGATGGGCGGGGTACAAATAATAAAATTATTATTATTATTATTATTATTATTATTATTATTATTATTATTATTATTATTTCAAGCAGGTTTGGAGGGAAGAGGTCAGGGTGGCTCCTCTTCCTCCTTGCTTGCAAGCTGCAAAAGCAGCCCCTCACTCTCACAGATTTCTTTCCACAAAAGATGGAAAGTGGAGCTTGGACAGAGACAGAGCAATGAGACAAGAGATAGATGCAGAAAAAGGCTTCTATCTGTGGAGGAGGGAGAAGGAGTCCTTCTTTCTCCCTTATTGCAATTGCTGGAGCCATATTATTATTATAAATAAAATTTATTATTATCACCCCCGAGACAGATCCAGTCAGAAGCTGCACCTCAACTCCCAGCCTTTTTATTCTGCCTGCATCTCTGTCTCTCTGCGTTCCTTGATATCCACTTTCTTGAAACTTTAGCGGGTGCCTGAGCAGCCTCGGCACACCCCTTGAGACCACCTGTAGTAAGGTCGCCATTGTTGCTAATCCAAAGCCTGAGTGTACTTAGCAATGTCATTTGGAAAGCACATATACAGTAGACATTTGGTCAGTTGGTAGAGCATGAGACTCTTAATCTCGGGGTCAAGCCCCACAGTGGACTACATGACCCTTGTGGTCCCTTCCAACTCTACAATTCTATGATTTCAGAGGATTTTTTAAAAAAAGTATTATACCTGAAGGCAACTGTTTCATGGGCAGCGGTCTTTCTGGTTTATGTTCTTTTTTTCTAATAGCGATCTAATAAAAGCAATAGGAGACAATTTCTTTCTTTCAACTAAGTAGATTTATATTTGATATAAGTATCAAAATATGAAAAGCTGAAAAGAATGGTGCACATAAAAAGCACACTTAATTATGAATACATTTTACAAAATTAGAATAGGAAGAATTAAACTAAAAACAGGGAGCCCAGGTTCCATAGTTTAACTATGAAAGAAGTACATTAAACTATGAAGAAGTACATTCTTTTGTCTGTCCTGGATCTCCCAATATTCAGCTTCATTGAATACCCACATGTTCCAGCAGTATGAGAGAGGGAGAAAAGCTTTTATCTACCCACTTTATCCATGCAATGCATGAATTCCTTGATCAGCAGGGAATTAGTGACCACTGTAACAAAGAGTCATGTTTTAGGAAAATTTGCCATTACCGAAAGCCAACAGATAGCCACTCACTTAAAGAACTTGGCCTGTGTTAAATAGCTCCTAGCTTTTGCAATTTCATCAACAAGTTTCTTTAAATCATCTCCTTCAAACAAGGGGAAAGCTGGATCCTGAAAAAAGAAATAAGAATTCAAGTCTTTGGATGGGTGGAAATTTATCGGTAAAGAAAATAAAAAGTTTTCACAAAATGTAGAGAACCGAAGAGCAGAAAAATGAAGAAGTGAGAGAAACCAAACTGGACAGATCTGACTAGCTCTAATCTCATCTCACTTTTCATAGGCACAACTATGAACCAGAAAATTAGAGAACTGATACGTCTGTCTATCTGCAGATATGCCCTGTGCTTGCCTTGCCCTCTTAAATTGGTTCATCTATGTGTACAGGGGGACACGGGTGGCGCTGTGGGTAAATCCTCAGCGCCTAGGACTTGCCGATCGCATGGTTGGCGGTTCGAATCCCCGCGATAGGGTGCGCTCCCGTCGTTCGGTCCCAGCGCCTGCCAACCTAGCAGTTCGAAAGCACCCCCGGGTGCAAGCAGATAAATAGGGACCGCTTACTAGCGGGAAGGTAAACAGCATTCCGTGTGCTGCGCTGGCTCGCCAGATGCAGCTTGTCACGCTGGCCACGTGACCCAGAAGTGTCTGCGGACAGTGCTGGCCCCCGGCCTCTAGAGTGAGATGAGCGCACAACCCTAGAGTCTGGCAAGACTAGCCCGCACGGGCAGGGGTACCTTTACCTTTATGTGTACAGGAAGCATACAAACAGGTAGTGCCCCAGGTGTGGGATGCTTAAATGGGCAAGGGATGGATCTGAGGGAAGCCTATCCCACTCTGTCGGCTCTGCCCCCTGACACAGCCCAAATCCCCAGGCTGCATCCCCATTTGCCAAAGCAGGGTTCAGGCTAGGATCCGATTCCTGATAGGTGGAATAAATAAAAAGGCTAAGTGGAATAGAGATAGAGAAAGGACTGTTCCTGAAGAGGTATGGGAATGTTTATGATATTTATTTATCTTGTTTTTCTATTGCAACCAGGGAAAACTGTTTTAAGGGGGCATATGGCAGCGTAGAAAATTCATAAAATATATAATATAGGAGAAGGTAATGCTGAATTTGTCAGGAGGAAAGGGGAGATTTTGCTCATGTATGGTGATGGAAAAATCAGAAAGCAAAATGTTTTTGAAGTCTGGTGATAAAGTTGATTAAGGACACTTTCCCAGTTAAACCTTAAACCCAAACCATTGCAAAATTTACTGGATGCAGTAAAAATAGTTATTAGCCTGGATAAACACAAGGCAGTTTTATATGTAATTACAAATGCAAGAAACGTATTTGCTATATTATGGAAGGGTATTTAAAAAACCACTAGTAAAACAGAGTTGATTAAGAAAATATGGGATCAATCTGAAATGGCTAAGCTTACAGCACTTGAACACATCAATAAAATAGGCATTGGCATTAGAGACATGAGAACCTGTGATTCAAAATATTTTTAAAAGGAGTTGACTATAAATTACTTGGAGTGACATGGAGTCATTTACAGGAGTCTATAAAGGTTAGGTTTTTTAAGTGACTCCGCTGGAATAGATTACTTGTGGCAGAGAGAAACCACACATACAGGCATCTCCCCACTTAAGTGTGAGCGAATCGCACACGACTGTGTACATGTGCGGTGCCAGGAAATAAATCATTCAGACCCAGAAATGGAGGGGGAAAGCTGGCGAGTCCTCGTCGCTCACAAGAAGACCCTCCCTGGAGCCTGAAGAGGACATCAGTGAGGGCGGAGGAAGCCCCAAAGAAACCAGTCATATTCCCATGTCAATTTGTTTGTGGTTGGCAAAGCCAAAAGGGAAGCCTCTCCTTCCACAAATGACTCGCCATGTGAAACTGCTCAAAAAAGCAGAATGAGCTATGACCCAAAAGGCACTCTCTGGAGATTTTCTTTTTTGAATAACAGGGAGGGAAAAACCTGTTATTTGTTGATGGATGGGGGTACGTATCAAGATTCCCATGCTTGCCTTAGCAGCTCAAAGGACCAGACAGACTTTCATGGTACTACACGGGATCCCATGTGCTGGGATCCGGAGTGCAAAATAAGGTACACCATGAGATGCTACATCAATTCAACATACATCTTCGTCCTTAAAGCCTTCCGATAGTAGCCGGTGTGCTGCCATCTGTCCGTCCACATCCCCGTGGCACCGATGGTAGCGCCCACCTGTCTGGAAGGCCAGTTTCTTAAGAAAGTCATTAGCTGCTCTGTGGAAGACAAGAGGGATGGGGGTGGGGAGAGTTCTTTGTACTATCTTTCAAATAGGTTCGGGTGTTATCATCACATCTCTTCTAAGAATGCCATTTCAATGTGGGTGACATCACTGCTATGTTGCATCAGCCCTGCCCAGAGAAATAATTCACATTTGCTTGTAACTTCAAACCAAGATCCTGGGACCATTAAGAGTGAGGTTCGTTCTTGGTTTTTGTTTATTAAGCACAAAACAAGTTGTTAAACATTTAGATAATGCACTTTATTAAAATAATATTGGACCCCTCTGGTTTTCTGTTCACCCATCTCTCACTGTTAGCGAGCATTCTGAGCATGTTCAAATTGCCTGAGTTTCTCCCCAACCCCGTAAAGGTATGCCTCTCTCTTTTTGCTAGTTCTGTGAACCTTGAATTGTCCCAAAGCCTGCTGATCCCTCCCTCTTGTGCATGGATGATGCAGTTTGAGGAAACTTTCAAAACCAGTGCAGCTCCAGTCCTAACCTTACGGATCATGCAGTTTTAAGAGGAAGACCTCGTGGAAATGGAGAACACTCTGTTCAGTTGCCAGTTTCATCCATGTTTTCCCTCATTTCCACAAAAAAAAAAAAGGATCAGAAAGCCAACTTTTCCCCCAGCAAAGCAAAACATACCTGTCTGAGCAATTAAACGAAATAGTGTGGATTATAATTGCTCGTTTCTTCAAAAGCATTTCAATTTCTTTCAGGACCAAACTGCAGCTGGTGTCTGGTTTTCCATCAGTCAGAACGTACAAAGCCTCAACGTCCGGAAGGCTGAAAGCTCTCTGAAAGAGCAGAATGGCATAACCTATATAATAATCAGGCTATGCAGAAGCACACTATGGTGAAATATAGTTCACCCCACAGGCAATCAGGGGGAATAATTGGCTCTTTCTAGCTGTCCATGCTCTGCAGCTTTGTTTGCACAATGCTAAACCTAACTCTTTGAATGTCTTAGTCCCTGCCCTTCCTCCAAGCTCAACAAGTCAGAAACAAAATGGTGGACTCTCATTTGGAATTTTCTAGGAGGCGGAAACTTCCAGCAGAACAGAGATGGAGCCACAGTAATAGCGGCATGCCAGCTAGAGGTCTTCAGTAGGAAGACACCCGCTCTCTGCCACAGGGACCCTGGTGAACACAGAACGCTCTGCCCTGCTTAACAAACCCGTAAAGCCTTGAGAATGGATGTATTCCCATGAGCGTGAAATGTTGACAGCCACTGTACAGCGTCATGGCATGTTTCGTTTGTGGCCTCCACAAGGCACTCCTGCCAAACGTCAACATCTTCGGCAAAGCTGATGAGACTGAACCTGATGAGAAAGAGGTGTGTCTGTCAAAACATTAAGCCAGCTAAGGCTGCCATATCAACTACGGAGCTGAGAAAAGCCCAGCTTTCAACATTCAACTGGCATGCAAAATCTGTTGGGCAAAAGAAAACATTTAGCTCCACCCACAAGCTTTTTGCCGTGAAATCTGCCTCTTTGTATTATCTGAGCTGGTTGCCTAATGCCCAGGCAGCGTTCCTGAGGCTGTAGTTAATTTTCTGCTAGAAACAAAACCACTGCGTTTTGTCTGGACATAAAGATGGAGGTTATCATTAAACATGGCTGATGACACCCAGCTCTCTCTCTCTCTCTCTCTCTCTCTCTCTCTCTCTCTCTCTCTCTCATCCAACACAGGAGAAGCACCAGGGGCCTAGTCCACTTCTTCGTCCAATTTGTTGCAGGATCTTCCTCTGCCCTTTGTGTGGTGGCTATTGTGTGGTGCTGGACCTTGCTATGGTTAACTGTTGGTTGCTGTATTCAAGGCCCGGTAGGAATTTGCCCAAGGGACATATTGGCTCTGTCCTTTGCTTTCACCTACCTCATACAACTTTGGCGGTTAAGGCATTGGGTAAGTCTTTGGTGGAGGGGAGGTTGTAGCCTACAAGTGTATCTCATTAAAGGCATCCAGGAGAAGCCCCATCCAGGTGGGGCTACGGCCATAGCACTCCTCAAGATGGCAACCCTGCAAGGGGTACCTATTTGATGTGTGTCATTAGGTCCTCTTTGCCTTGGGTTGACCCCAAACAGTAAACCTCAGTAGGCTGCCTAATGCTCAAACGGTTTCCCAATACCTTGCCAAACCTTTTCATATGTAATCAATAAAGTCGTGGCCTGATTTGACCTAAGCTACGTGTCCTATGTAATCACTGGCATTGGTCCTACAGGGTGGGGGGTCTGATTTCTGCAATGATGCTTACCTCACAAGAGTGTTAAAAGGATATTGCGCAAGATGCCTGCACTGATTAAAAACCAAAAAAGAAAAGAAGGATTATTTATGTCGTGAAATTATAATCTCCTATGGGAATCTCCCACATGTTCTGGGTGGAGAATTGGAGATAACAATCCCTCCTAACTGAGTTACTGAAATTGAAACATGCCATTGTGCGGTAGCTGGTAGAAACAGGCATGGTTGTATCATTTGGGCTGCCAGAAACAAAATAAAAAAATTCCTTCCAGTAGCACCTTAGAGACCAACTAAGTTTGTTATTGGTATGAGCTTTCTTCAGATACATCTTAGAAGGACCAAAACACAAGCCAGTCACTACATGTAATTAAATCAACATTTTATCCTTTCTGAGAAGAAACACTTGAGGAAAGCCATATGAGAGCATTTGAATATCCATAAGGAGGCTACTTATGGGAAAGCAAGTTGATACCCCAAAGCAGGGTCCTCTCAATGACTCCTTTTTTCTAATATTAAATTCAGTTCTCCACATTTCCGCAACAATTTGCGGATTCTTAAAAATAATAATTTTTTTAAAATCCTCATGAAAATTCTTCAGCATTTTAGTGCAAATTTCACCTTATAAACACATTTTTTTTCTATATAGTCTTGATTTATGCACATATTTTTGTAAGCAATATCTCCTACTATAATGCATGCTATTTTCACAAATATAATCATTTTTGTGGAGGTTTCCCCCTAATATATGTATTTTGGTAAACAATGGATGGAGAACTGCTTTGCAAAATTTGGATGCGTGTGAATTTATAAGCATGGCTGTGTTTCGGTTTTCAAATTGTTTCGGAAAGTGCAAATTCGATAAGTTCGCCATTAAATCTGAACTGACTTGCGTTTCTCCCTCATCTTAAGGTCACCTCTGCACCTTCCTTACTTCACATTATTCTTCCTCAGCTGTTCCCAGATAAGGGAGGTGAGCTCTTTTGTGACCTCCTGCAAAGAACGGTCCATGGAACCAGACGTATCAATCAGGATGCAAACATTCGCTTCCAAAACGACACCAAACAATCGACGACTACCTATTTTTTTTTTTTTAAAAAGAAATAAAATGAGCAGGTAGGCTGAACATTCAGATGGGGTGGAGTGTTACTGCATTTGTTTTCATGGTTATAATGCCACTGCTTCTGTCCCGATTTGTAAGGTTCCTTTCACTCCGCAACACCCTTAAGTTTTTGTAACACAGGGGAATTGAAGGCCATTATGGGCTGCACTGACATGCATTTTACAAAACACAAAACTCAACTGAGTGTGTTTGCGCACAGATGATGTGGGGCTGGGTGGAACTGAACAGCTACAGGACAGTGAATCCCATCCCTAGTCACCACCACATCTAGCTTGTTTCTCAGCTCAGTAATTAAACTCAAGTGGCCTTGCACTAGTTACCATCTTTAGGTCTTTATTCTCACTCACAGTTTTTTTAAAAATGACAGTGATGATATTAACTAATACAGTGGTGCCCCGCAAGATGAATGCCTCGCAAGACGAAAAACCCGCTAGACGAAAGGGTTTTCCGTTTTTCGATGCGCTTCGCAAGACGATTTTCCCTATGGGCTTGCTTCGCAAGACAGAAACGTCTTGCGAGTCTTGCGATTTTTTTCGCTCCCCCCCTTTTTCTAAGCCGCTAAGTCGCTAATAGCCTTTTAGCTGCTAAGCCGCTAAGCCTTTAATAGCCGCTAAGCCGCTAAGAGCCTTTTAGCCGCTAAGCCGCTAAGCCGTTAATAGCCGCTAATCCGCTAAGCCGCTAATAGCGCTAATCCGCTAAGCCGCTAATAGGGTTGCTTCGCAAGACGAAAAAACCGCTAGACGAAGAGACTCGCGGAACAGATTATTTTCGTCTTGCGAGGCACCACTGTAATAAACTTCATGTGAGCTATGGGCTATTCAAATGTTGGAAGCCGACTTGCAAATAATTATCACCTCTCCTTTGTAATTTCTGTCTCAAAACTATCGCAATGGCAAAATGTTAGCTGTTCTCATGCAGTGTCTTAAGAAAGGGGCAATGTTGGTCTTGTCTTTTGGTCAAACTCTGCTTCCTATGAACACCCCTGGAATGTTAAGTGTGCTTTCTCCATGAATCCTTTGGCTGGCCACTCCATACTGGAAGAGTCAGCTCTAGGGGCTGGCTGCAAGACCAGCTGCTGCTGCTGCCGCCACACACAAAACAAACCCTTCTCTCCGTTGGGTTTAGAGCAGAGATGTGTCCTTTAGGGCTAGTGGGTCAAGGAGATCAACAGTTGGAGGAGCCACAGTCAATGATAGGCAGAGGCAACTAATTCTAGTTTTGTTCCCATCCTCCTCCCTGCTGAATTCTACAACAGACAACCCTGAGATTACAGAGAAGAAAACTGAGGGCGGATCTACACTCGTCGTTTATAACATTAAAAATGTGCTATTAAAATGTGACACCAGAGGGCGCTGCAGAGCAGCGAGCCCCCCGGCAAAGGAAAACTGCCATTGAACATTATAGAACATTATATTTTATAACGTTTAGAAGATCAATGTTGATCCAGCCTGAGAGGCAGTGCTGCCTCCTGGAGTGAATCAAGGTTGGCTGGGGAGGTAATATATACCCATCCAATTTTGTCAAAATATCTATTATCTTCTTTATAGAGGAAGAATACTGGGGGAATTGTAGAAGGCAATTTGTGGGTGAGACGGAGATAAAGTTTAGTACACTGAGTAGAGCTCTGGCTTTGAGCAGGACAACACTGAGTTCAAAATCTTGCTTAACCACAAACACCTTGGATTATCTTGAACCACTTAATTCTCTCTCAGCCTCAATCCATTATCTAGTGAAAGGAAACTTCCCTCCCAAGGCTGCGTGAATTAGCTTTGTATCCTAGGGCAATAAACAGATATTATCAACACTGCAGCGACTTCTCCTTCTTAGAGGTAGTACACACCTGACAGAAGCCACTGGACTCTTCGAACGTAGCACCGCAACACTCTCTCCATCTGCTCAATGTACACTTCCAGGTCTTTGGGCTGAATCTGCAGATGTTTGACAATACCCTAAAAACACAGTTTGCATTTTGTCACTACAGATGTGCAGATGTACAGTGGTACCTGCTTGCTGCCTGCTGCCCAGGAGGACTCCCCTGTGTGAGTGCCTGAGGGCCCTGCTCTTGCCACTTACCATCTGGCTTGGGGCGGGGCCTGAAGCCTCACAAGGACTGCTTGCTGCCTGCTACCCAGGAGGACTCCCCTGTGTGAGTGCCTGAGGGCCCTGCTCTTGCCACTTACCACCTGGCCCAGGGCGGGGCCTGACAGGCCTCACTAGGACAGTTGCTGTTACTGCTGGAGGGGCACAGAGTGTTTTTAAAATGTTTTTAAAAATTTCTTTTGAATTTTTTGTATGTGGGGGGTGGGGTAGGGTGGATGTTTGGTTGGGCTTGGGGAATTTTTTTGATTTTGTTGTTTTTTGTAATTTTTACAGTTTTTTGTTTGTATTGTTTTATTGGTTTTGTTTGTTTGTTTGTTTGTTTGTTTAAGGTGTTATTTTGTTCTTAAGGGGAGGGGTCAGGGCTGCCGGGGAGTGGGCCCCAGCCCACAAAATGGCTGGGGCATGTTCCACAGGGGGGGGAAGCACTGGGACAACCGATCTCAGTGATCACGGGTAGGAGGAGAAGTTACGCTAAGATTAGACCATGTCATTACAGAGGGGGCAGGTTTAATCGTTGTCTGAGGACTATTCCTGCCTCCGGGTCTGGTCCTGACCGGATGGATACTAGAATCAGCAAGGGATACCCACATGACCTGAAGGTGTTGCTGTGCAATGCCAGGTCAATGATTCATAAGACCACTGCCATCCATGACTTGATCATGGATGGAGGATTTGACCTGGCATGTGTAACAGAGACTTGGTTGGATGAAGCAGATGGGCCTGCCCTTGCCGCTGCTTGTCCACCAGGTTTCTCTTACGCATAGCAACCCAGGTCATGTGGGCGGGGAGGGTGGGTTGCAGTGATTTTTAGGAAGTCATTAGTTTGCACCAGGCGTCCTATTGGGAAGACCCAGTTTTCCGAGTGCATGTTCTGGAAGTTGGGCAATAGGGGCAGTAGAGGATTCCTTTTGGTGTACTGACCTCCCCGCTGCACCAAGGATTCCCTGCCCGAGCTGCTTCAGGTCGTGGCGGATGTTCTCCTGGAGACACCTAGTTTGGTCGTCCTAGGGGATTTTAACATCCATGCCAACACGACCTTACAAGGGGCCGCTCGGGACTTTGTGGAAAGCATGGCCTCCATGGGGCTGTCCCTGAATAAGTCTGGCCCAACCCATAGCCGCAGACATGCCTTGGACCTGGTGTTCACCTCTATGGTTGTTGGTGATCTGACACTAAGTAAAAGTGAAACTAAAGAAGTGCCATGGTCAGATCACTTCCTGGTGCAACTGGACTTCTCTGCGACCCATCCCCTCTGCAGGGAGGTGGGACCAATTTGGATGGTCCGCCCCCGCCACTTAATGGATCCAAATGGTTTCCAGAGAGTGGTAGGGGATGCTTTATCCCATGTTGATGGCCTTTCAGCTGATTCCCTGGTGGCCCGCTGGAATGTGGAGTTAACCAGGGCTATTGACTGTTTGGCTCTGAAGCGCCCTCTCCGATTGCATGGAGCCCGGACAGCCCCGTGGTTTTCCACGGATCTGAGGGCAATGAAACAATCGTTGAGATGGCTAGAGCGCTGGTGGCGGATAACTCATTCCGAATCTGACCAGACACAGGTTAGAGCTCAACGTCGAGCCTACCAAGTGGCGATAGCGACGGCGAAGAAGAATTTCTTCACCGCCTCTATTGCATCTGCAGAAAATAGCAGCAGGAGACTTTTTCAGGTGGTTCACAATTTAACGGAACCACCTGCAACATCGGGGCCCAGTATGGGCCACGTGTTCTCCTGCAATGATTTTGCAAAGTTTTTTGCAGATAAAATCGCTCAGATTCGGGAAGAAGTAGACTCCACCGTGGGAGCAGGGCCAGGGTGGGAGAGTGCTAGAGTCCTGTCTAGTCAAGTTGCGTGGGATCAATTCCAATCTGTTACCCCCGAGGAAGTGGACAGGCTGCTTGGACGAGTGAAGCCAACCACCTGTCTCCTGGATCCTTGCCCATCCTGGCTTATAAAAGCTAGCCGGGAAGGACTGGGCGATGGGCTTCGTGGGGTGGTGAGTGCTTCCCTCCGTGAGGGAGCCTTCCCAGACCCGCTGAAAGAGGCAGTTATTAAACCGCTTCTTAAAAAAACATCTTTAGATGCGGCCACGATGGCCAACTATCGCCCAGTCTCAAATCTTCCATTCTTGCGCAAGGTGATTGAGCGAGTGGTTGCTGAACAACTCCAGGCACGCCTGGAAGAAGCGGACCATTTGGATCCCTTCCAGTCGGGATTCAGGCCTCATCATGGGACTGAAACTGCCTTGGTCGCACTGGTTGATGATCTTCGGCGGGCTAGGGACAAAGGTGAGAGCTGTTTCCTAGTTCTGCTGGATCTCTCAGCGGCGTTTGATACCATCGACCATAACATCCTTCTGCACCGTCTTGAGGGGCTGGGAGCTGGGGGCACTGTCATACAGTGGTTCCGCTCCTTCCTCCTGGGCCGTGTTCAGAAAGTGGTGGTAGGGGATGAGTGTTCAGACCCCTGGGCTCTCACTTGTGGGGTGCCTCAGGGTTCTGTCCTCTCCCCCATGCTTTTCAACATTTACATGCAGCCACTGGGAGAGATCATCAGGAGGTTTGGGCTGGGTGTTCATCAGTATGCGGATGATACCCAGCTCTACCTCTCTTTTAAATCAGAACCAGTGAAGGCGGTGAAGGTCCTGTGTGAGTGTCTGGAGGCGGTTGGAGGATAGATGGCGGCTAACAGATTGAGGTTGAATCCTGACAAGACAGAAGTACTGTTTTTGGGGGACAGGAGGCGGGCAGGTGTGGAGGATTCCCTGGTCCCGAATGGTGTAACTGTGCCCCTGAAGGACCAGGTGCGCAGCCAGGGAGTCATTTTGGACTCACAGCTGTCCATGGAGGCACAGGTCAAATCTGTGTCCAGGGCAGCTGTTTACCAGCTCCATCTGGTACGTAGGCTGAGACCCTATCTGCCTGCGGACTGTCTCGCCAGAGTGGTGCATGCTCTGGCTATCTCCCACTTGGACTACTGCAATGCGCTCTACGTGGGGCTATCTTTGAAGGTGACTCGGAAACTACAACTAATCCAGAATGCGGCAGCTAGACTGGTGACTGGGAGACCATATAACACCGGTCTTGAAAGACCTACATTGGCTCCCAGTACGTTTCCGAGCACAATTCAAAGTGTTGGTGCTGACCTTTAAAGCCCTAAACGGCCTCGGTCCAGTATACCTGAAGGAGCGTCTCCACCCCCCATGAGGTCCAGTGCCGAGGGCCTTCTGGCGGTTCCCTCATTGCGAGAAGCAAAGCTACAGGGAACCAGGCAGAGGGCCTTTTCGGTAGTGGCGCCCGCCCTGTGGAACGCCCTTCCAGCAGATGTCAAAGCGATAAACAACTACCTGACATTCAGAAGACATCTTAAGGCAGCCCTGTTCAGGGAAGTTTTTAACGTGTGATATTTTAGTGTATTTTTTATTTCTATGGAAGCCGCCCAGAGTGGCTGGGGAGGCCCAGCCAGATGGGCGGGGTATAAATAATAAATTATTATTATTATTATTATTATTATTATTATTATTATTATTATTATACCTCCGTTTACGAACTTAATTCGTTCCGGAGGTCCGTTCTTAACCTGAAACTGTTCTTATCCTGAGGCGCGCTTTAGCTAATCAGGCCTCCCGCTGCTGCCATGCTGCCAGCGTGTGACTTCCACTCGCATCCCAGGACAAAGTTCACTACCTACTTCTGGGTTAGCAGAGCTTGTTACCCGAAGGGTTCGTAAGGAGGACAGTACGTAACCTAAGGTTCCACTGTAATGTTAAATTAAGGTCATGTCAGATATCTATAGGTTAGACAGGGTAGAAGTTCCTAGACTTGGGTGATCACGTTAAATAATTACCTGGGTGCATTTGGGGAAAGGGTGCAGGCAAACTTGAGGGAGGGTGTCTGGTGGTGGGAGTTGAGGGTCATAGGCCTGACCATGTTCTTAATTAACAGATTGGGTGAAAAATCTATTTTCAATTGTTTACCGGGCCATCTTGAAAATAATTCGAGAGCCAAGCTATACACAGGAATATTAATTGATAACTCTTCTTTTAAGTGCATAGGGATAAATAACACCTTTGTTTGGTCCCATGGCCAAAGAAATAGGTCCCAAATCTTGCATATTGGCTCCTTCTACATCCCATACCCTCCCATTTCACCGATGAAAATAGGGTCGTCTTAAGAAAAAGCGGGACATTACGGGATCAAATCAGAAACCGGAACAGCTTCTCTAAATCAGGGACGTCCCTGGAAAATAGGGACATTTTGCAGGGTCTGACATCCAAGTTCTTACTCCCATTTCCTTTCAATAGCTTTGCCGGAGTCACAATGGGGTCTCCCGTTTCTTGAAAAATTCAGCCACATCTTTGAAGCCAGAAAGAAGAAGGCTCAAGTATTTGATGAAAAATTTGTTTTTATATGCAACAGCAGCTTATTCTATGATTTCAAAAAGGCCAGTGTAAAGTTGACTAGAACACAGGAAACCACATTGAAAGATGTTGTCGTCAAAGCAGAAGTCTAGGTAACTGGCAGAAATAAGACATTTTTTTTGTACCACAATGGGAGGAAAAGCCATAGGACTTACGTGAATCTCTACGCTCGGGAAGATGTCACAGTATTTTGCTGAGACTTGCTTGTGCAAAGATGCCACCATTTCCTTCTGATGCACACACTCAGGTCCAAAAACAAGGCTGGGCAAGTCTAACTTCAATTTCTTTATACTGAATCTGCTCAGCCACTTTTTGAGAGAAAGGAGGACAAAATAATAACTATGCTCAACCATCTTATTTATTCAGAAAGTTATTACCTCCTTCCCCCCCCCTCCACAAGGCAGATGCAGCTTACAGATATAAATTGAAACATACAAACAACCATAATGCCAACCAATAAAACACAAATGTATCAAACTAAAGATGATATGTTTAGGATGCATATCAGTCAAAGACATACTGCCGCCCTAGGCTTCTTTGGGGAGAAGGGCAGGATATAAAATGAGTGAATGAATAAAATGAAGAACACTCAATGCTTCCACAGCAATTCATATCAAAGTGGTAAAATCAATAAAGAATCTAGTGGCGTTTTAAGGCCTGACAGAGCTATCTCTTTGGAAATTATGAATCATACCGCTTTACTGGAGCATATCTCTTCTTCAAATGGCAAAACAGGAACAGGAATCTGCTTCTTCACATTTTTCGTGTTTGAATATTTTTTATAAACTGCACCTAGGAAAAAAAGAAGCTACAGTGTTCCACTCTGGGCAAAAATATGCTTCATGCCTAAAAAATATGGCATGCCATATGCTGGTGGAGGCATATATAACTTGCATTACAGTGGTACCTCTGGATGTGAACGGGATCCATTCCGGAGCCCTGTTCACATCCTGAAGCAAACATAACATGCGACTGCACATCTGCACGTGCGCGGGTCGTGTTTTGCTGCTTCCGTGCATGCACGTGATGTCATTTTGAGCGTCTGCGCATGTGCGAGCAACGAAACCTGAAAGTAACGCACTGCGTTACTTCTGGGTCACCGCAGAGCACAACCCAAAAATATTCACCCTGAAGCTACATCACCCCGAGGTATGACTGTATCTACTTCCTACCTAATATAAGAGCTCTACCAGCGGGTGGCGCTGTGGGTTAAACCACAGAGCCAAGGACTTGCCGATCAGAAGGTTGGCGGTTCGAATCCCCATGATGGGGTGAGCTCCTGTTGTCCAGTCCCTGCTCCTGCTAACCTAGCAATTCGAAATCACGTCAAAGTGCAAGTAGATAAATAGGTACCACTCTGGTGGGAAGGTAAACGGTGTTTCCGTGTGCTGCTTGCCAGAAGCGGCTTAGTCATGCTGGCCACATGACCCGGAAGATGTACACCGACTCCCCTGGCCAATAAAGCGAGATGAGCACCGCAACCCCAGAGTCGGTCACCAAGGATCCATCCAGTGTCCCACTTCCCCAAATGGCCAGCCGGATGCTTCTTGAAAGTACTTAAGCATGAAGGCAACAACCTTCCCCCATGCCCCATGTCTGGAACAGAAATCAATGCAACTAACACAATTGGCTTTTGCTGTTGCTTTCAGTCCGCAATCAATATGTCATTGATTGCATCCTCTGCACTGAAATGAAAGGGGTGGAATAATGTAATGACTTTACCAAATTAATTGCATAAATGGCTTAATTTCGCCACATCAGACAGCAAGAGAAATAATCTAGGTTTTGGTGGAAGACAAACTGCAGGGGAATGGAAACAGTGCTGCATGTGACAAATACACGATGGAATGGAAGATGATGTCTTCCATCATCGCAGTTTGGCTCCACTAGAGGTGAGTCAAGCATTCTTAGGTGAAAAGCTGCAGACTCAAAACTGGATGTTGAAATCACTGATAGGCTCTACCCCTAGTTTCACGGGAGTAGAACAAGGAGAGCCCATCTCGATGGGACTGACAGCTGCCTCTCCTTCAAGTCATCTAAGAATCACCATCACCACCAAAATTCCCTTTTAGTCATCTTGTAACGTTATTTCAGATTACTTTTAGGGGTGACAACAGTCACCAGGAAGAGCTGTTTGCCACCTCTCCCCCCTCCCACCCTGAATAATAGCTGAAATTCTCCCCTCTGCTGCCATTCCACCACTTGCAAATAGGGCTCAGCCAAAGAATTTCCAGTGATAAAGCTCATTTGAATTAAAGTCATAGCACTTTAAGTGGCATCAAAAAGCAACCTACGTGTAAGCTGTAAACAGGACCTAGTGTGGTGCTGAAGACATAAGCCAACAAATGCTTCTAAAACACTAACCCAGCGGTTCTCAACCTGTGAGTCCTCAGATGTTGTTGGACTACAACTCCCATCATCCCTAGCTAGCAAGGCCAGAGCTCAGGGATGATGGGAGTTGTAGTCCAACAACATCTGGGGACCCACAGGTTGAGAACTGCTGCACTAACCCCTATTCTCACTCCTCCGACACCTGAAATGCCTCCCCTCTAACACACCCAATCGCTATTGGAACAAGTCAGAGAAAAGGAGAAAATCTGCAGTGAAACTCCTCATTATCAAAGTTTTAAAACTCTGCTGGTTTAGTAAGAAAAAGACTGCACACCCTGGGGATACCCACCTACTTTTTTTCCTTTGTCAGCATAAAATAACAAGAGAGAAACCTCTGGACGCTTCTTTGACTTGAAGTTGTGTTTCTTTTTTCCGCTTGTCAGATAAATTTCCTTTGAAGGTACTGCAACACAAGGGCAAAAAATAATTATTATTATTCTATTGAACCTAAGAATGCAATGCTTATCAGAATGTTTATTTATCATCATCATCATCTCTGGCAGGGTTTAAATCATGGGGCTATGGCTATGGAGAAGGTCATGATTTGGCACTGAAGCCCAGCTCCCAAAGTCCAGACACTGACCTGATTTGGCTGGTTTAAGCAGTGCTTTTTTCCTGGGGGGAAGCAGGAGTACGCATACCCCTAAACATTTTGTGAATCTAAGCTTGGCCTCATTGAGGGGCAGTATTTCAATATGAGTAGGAAAATGAGAGTACCCCTAAACATTTTTTTAAAAAAGAAAAAAAGCACTGACTTTAAATATCAAGATTCCCTTTTAGGAAACAAAGATGAAAAGGGGAAATAGACAAGGCTCAGATGGACCCACAAAGGAATACTGCAGAAAACTTGTACTGTGGAACTTGTGAACAGTGTGAGATAAATATGTTATTAATATGAGGAACACTGTTGCCCTGAACTCTTCCCTTAGCCACAGTTATAACCTGCCTTTTCAGCCCTTTGTGAGACCCTTGACTCACAAACATCAGTCAAAGAAATATGCAGTCAAATGTTTTCTTTAACTGTTAATGACAGTAGGACCACCAGTAATTATGAAACAGTTTTCCTAAACGCAGCAAGCCTTGAAACAATTTTTTAGCTTTCATTCCTTCTTTCTCTACTTGAGCTGGTTACTAGGGCTTACGCACTGGATCCAGGATCATTGGGGAGGGGATCCTGGCTTCAGCTGAGTTGAGTGCAATCAGCCCCAGATCACCGCAGGCTCTGTTGGGCCACAGAGTGAGATGGTCCTTAAAGCATCCTGGGCCTCAGTTATTCAAGGAATGGTACAGTGGGATAGACGCCTATGAGAGGTGATGAACTCTCCTTCCTTGGGAGGTTTTTAAGCAGAGCTTGGATGGCCATCTGTCATGGATGATCCAGCTGAGATTCCTGCATTGCACCAGGGTTGGACTAGATGACCCAGGGGGTCCCTTCCAACAATCCTATGGTTCTAAGAATGGCCCAGTTGCGGATGGGAAGCCAGTGCAAATCTTTCAACACTGGTAGCTTGTGTTCCCAGTCTAGTTGCAGCATTCTGCACTACCTGAATCTCCTCGACCAGACCCAAGGATAACCCCACATACAGCATATTGAAGTAATGAAGTCTTGAGGTTCCGAGCAAATCAATGACAGCAGTCAGATTAGCCGTATCCAGGAATGGCCATAGCTGATGTATCAGCCAAAACTGATAAAAGGCACTCCCAGACACAAGAGGTCAAGCAACAATGAAGGTTCAAAGAGTATCCCCAAAATGCATACCTGCTCCTTCCAAATGAGTGCAAACCCACCCAAGGCAGACAATTGGCTTATTCCCTGGATCCAAGAGCCCCCGCCCACAAGGCCTCTGTCTTTGCAGTGTATTGTCCCTCATCCAGTCTACCACTGCAGGTACTTGTCCTGGTCTTTCAAAGCTTATCTTGATTCAGACATCATGGAGAAACAGAAATGGATATCATTAGCATGCTGAACCATCCATCAGATGCGTTAGCCGCCCAGAAAGGAAGAAGCCTCTTATTTAAAAATTGAGAGATTATTCAAGACTGCAGGTATGGGTCTAGCAACCTGGAGAGTCTGCAGCTGCAGTTCCTTGTGACAGAAGTCTGGGCATGCCTACATCTTGGGTTTACCCAACTCAGTCCTACTCAGAGTAGATCCATTGAAATTAATGAACCTAAGTTAGTTATGCCCATTAACCTGAATGGAACCACTCTTGAGTTGGACTAGAAACTGGATGCAAACCATACATTATCAAGAGCCAATTCTTCTCCAGACGCCTCACCCACTTCATCCAGCCTTAGTCAGCAGGCTTTACTATTTCATCAAGCTGGTAGTAAACAAAGCTTGAAACAACAAATATATCTATTTGTAACCTTGCAAGCAATAGCAATTCAAATCCATTTACACACACCTGGAGGAATTTCCGCTTTGGCACTTGGTGGACGCCATAGGAGAGCTTTCATCGTGCCATTTCTGGCCCCATCGGGCTGGTCTCTGAAGTTCTAAAAAGGTACAGTCAACATCTGAGAAAACCTTCTGCCACTTTGCCCCTGCCTACCAGCATGCTACGTGGTTCTTATTTTCAAAACCGCTTTTGGGATACCACAATGGCAACAATTATGCAACCAGATTGCTGAGTGGAGCGCCTGGACTCACAGCTCACACCTGTGCTGAGAGAACTGCTCCGGTTGCCAGCCAGCTACCAGGTCATGTTCAAGGTCTTGTTGTTTACTAGGCCCTGAGCATCTTGGGACCAGGCTGCCTGGCCCTGTATAGACCTGTATGATCTGCACTCAACCCTATCACAGAGCAGCAACGCCCGCCCCCCCAGCATTTTCAGTTTTCGTCCCTGTATTGTAGAATCATAGAAGCCAACTCCTAGGGACATGGATGAAGGCAGTTTTCATCTTAAAATACCAAACAGTGTCATACCATTCTGGCAAGAGTAAGGGCAGTTGGCTTTGGAAATGGCAGCCTCTGTGGTCTACTCTTCTTCTGTGTTTCCAGCATTGTTAGGTCTCCTTCAGGCATCAGCTGATTAGCCAAATGACTTCCTGAACGCTGCCTTAAGGATCCCACTAGTAAGGCACACTGAAAAACAGAAGGGATAGGAAAGGTATAGACTTTCCCTGGAAAGCAAATGCAATGGGGGGGGGGAGTCTTATCAGTTTCTATCAGGACTGAACTCAAAAGGAAATAGCTAATGTATTGCCTTCAGATGGGCAAAATGGGTGTGTGTGTGTGTTCCCATTCCACAACACTTGCAGAAATACAACAGAGAACCACACCAACACATCCTCTTCTGGTGTGCCTTATGCATTGATAAAAAATATATATATTTCTTGTTCTCTCTTCTGATATGGTCTATATATTATTATTATTTGGATCACTGTCTCTTTGTATTTGTATTGGAACACTGAACATAGTTTGTTCTTGTTTCAATCTGGTTGTTAGCTGTCTTGGAGGGCCAAACCTGACAATGGAACGTAAGCTAGGAATTTCAAAAATCATCCTCATTGTCATCATCAACATTAGATGCTGTTCCCAAGCTATCAATTATCATCAACACAGTATGATGTTGTCGTTCCCAAGTCACCCATCATCATTGCCCATGAACCTAAGAGGATGCAGTTCCTGTGTCATTGCAAATTTGGAAATTCACCTTTCCATTTCACGTTTTATGGGTTTAACAATGGAATACCAGCCTATTCAGGTTGTCACCAAACTGATGGCCACCAATGTGGATAGATTTACAAGGGGATGAAACAGAGGCCACATCCACACCATACATTTAAAGCACTCTTATCCCAATTTAATATTCATGCCTTCCCCCAAAGGATCTTAGGAAGTGTAGTTTGCTAAGGGTTCTGAGCATTGTTAGAAGACCCCCCATTACCACCCACCACCCAAATGTTACAGTTCCCTGGGAAGATTGCTAAACCACTCTGGGAACTGTAGGTGTGTGAGGGGAATAGAGGTCCTCTAACAACTCACAGTATCTTTAAGAAATCACAACTACCATGGTTCTCCAGGAGGGGGGAGCCATGACTATTAAAGTGGTATAAGCATCTGGTGAGGATATGGCCAAATTAATGGAAGATATGAATCTTCACCATGACAACTATGTACTACCTTCAATATGGGAGGCAGTATGCCCCCAAGTCCCAGTTGAGGGAACACAAGTGGGAGAGGTCTATTGCATTCATGTTGTGCTTCCCATAGACGTCTGGTTGGTCAATGTGGGTAACAGGATGCTGGACCAACTAGGGTTTGGTATGGTCCAGAATAGGTCTTCTTAAGTTCTTAAATGTGAAGCATGACTGAACAGATGCATCCTGTTCAACCTAACAAACACAGCACCCATTTCAGAAGAAGAATATCTGAACGTATACCTTGTGAGAATAGTTGACAGCTTTTTCCATTTCAGATAGGATAATGCTGATATCGTCACTTTCATAGATGCCTAACAGGAGGAGAGAAAAGTAGAGGAAAAAAGGCCAGCAGAAGGACATGTCCTTAAACTCCCTAGCGCTTAATTTTTTTTAATAGATCAGGAAGCAACTGCAACGTGGAGAAGCATATTGATCACTGATTGTCCCAGAACCGTTTCTGTTGAAACATTGGAGGGTTGAGTTGTTGTTGTTGTTCATTTCATTTCTATACCACCTTATATTTTTAAGAAAAAATAATCTCAAAGCGGCTTACAGGCTACATTAAAACATCAAATAAAATAACCCAAAATAAAACTTTACTGAAGAAAGTTAAGTGTACGATCAAAGCAACTAAAATATCATCTTTAAAAAAAACCTCAAAATAAAACATGGTGAAAGGAAGTCAAATATAAACCAGCATAATTAGCAAAAGAATAAAATATTATCAGAAGCATAGGACATATCTGCTGCTGTTGCTGCCAGTCCTGCCTATGGGGGTTCATGGGAGGCGGCAGCTGTGGATGCTCAGGCTCAATGACCTGGGTCTGCACTAAGAGACAGTCAAGAGGGTCTCTTGCCTCTCCAGCAGACTCGGCTTTTGTAGCTGGAGCTGAATAAGGATGGGAGCGTGAGCAAGTAAAGGAAAAGGTTTTCTAAAAGTAAAAGGAGGTCCCAATAGGGTTACAGAAGATTCCCAGTTCAAGTTCAAAACCACGTGTACAGTTTGTGAGCAAGTGGAGAATCGCAACAACCTGCCCTTCACCCTAAGGTCTTAAGGTGGGTCACAACAATTTAATTTAATCTACAGTAGTACCTCGGGTTAAGTACTTAATTCGTTCTGGAGGTCCGTTCTTAACCTGAAACTGTTCTTAACCTGAAGCACCACTTTAGCTGCTGCTGCTGCTGCCGTGCCGCCGGAGCACGATTTCTGTTCTCATCCTGAAGCAAAGTTCTTAATCTGAGGTACTATTTCTGGGTTAGTGGAGACTGTAACCTGAAGCATATGTAACTTGAAGAGTATGTAACCCGAGGTACCATTGTATCTGATAATATTTCTATATCGCTTACATTAAAAGTAATCTCACAGCAGTTTACAATATACATTGAATCAGTGTTACAGATAACTGGGCAGAAGGTACAGGGCTATCATTTCAGGAAAGCCCAAGTAAACAAGTTTTTACTAAATGCTGGGCTGCAAACACCCAACAGTCACTATCTTCTGAATAAAACTACACCATCTGTACTGCTGCAGGTTGCAGTTTTATCAGCAACGTTTCCTCCATTGATCTTAGTGAAGGTAGTCAGCCTTTAGCATCCCAGGCACTGTAGACCCTGAGAAATACACTGTGTGTCTCAGGGCTGCTTGGGCCGGAGATACATGCCATTTAAAACACAGCATTAAAAACAGTTTAAAACAAATTGCAATCCTAAAAATGCATGTCACAAACAAACAAAATATCATATACCTGTTTCTCCAAACCAATGAAACCGACCATTGGCAGTCTGGGCCATTTCTTTACAAATCGCAGCCGTTTCATTCAGACTTGCATACCGCGGCGGGATATCATGAAGGGAGAAACCGTCGACGCTGAACAGACAGACATGCAGCTTCAAGTCACAGCCGCCACAGACCTCAGCCAGGTAGGAACAGATGGCATGCTGGAAGGCAAGAATATAAGCCATAGGAACCACTTGGGAGTATTGTTTGATGACACTAACTCAACTATTTTAGCATTTGTATAGCGCTCGCAGTCATCACAGTCTGCAAGGCAAGGTGGGTATCCTTTTCCAAACTGAGGGCTGCATTTCCTCATCTGCGACTTTCTGGAGGCTGGTTGCTGTGAGAGGCAAAGTGGGCAGAGCAGCCAGAGTGACTTTGTACAGTAGTCAACCTTCCAGCCAGGCAATAGCCAGTGGTTGACGCACACATCTCTCTACCCTGGCAAGTAAGAGGCATTGCACCACTCAAAGACACATTCCTGCCCGGCAAAAAAGTATTGAAGAAATGCACAGAGAAGGGGCAGCGAGGGGCGTGGCCTGAGAAGAATTGCATAGTCTGCATACAGAAGCCTGGAGGTTAAAACTGGCCCCTGGGTCAAACTTAACATAGAGCACACAGCACAAGCCCTGTGAGACAAAACCACCTTAGAGTCAAGGGGGCCATCTCACCCGCAGCATTGTGGGTGCCCAAGCACCCACAGCCGCCTGGAGTTGGCTCCTATGCTTAGAATGCATGTAGGAGAACACATGTTTGAATACATACAGGTGTCATAGTCTCTCTGCAAGTGCAAAGCTAGCATGCAATAGTTCTGACAATCTAACAAGCAGTTCTGGGCAGATGGTAAGCTGGTTTGGGGATTTGACCCACCTTCTCTTGGTCGGGGACTCCAGTCGTAAGCAGGTAAATGCTTTGAGACTTATGCTTGTCTTTATCTTTAAAGTCTATCTCCACAGCTCTTCTTAGTGCGGTCATAAGATTTCTAGTGCCTTCACACTGAAGGGTCAGTACCCAGCTAGAAGAGGAGTTGAACAATTTTTTTATTTTCTTTTTAAATGCCCAAGTATCACCAAAACACTAATCATGGCTTCCAAACATTTTGTGACTGCCATGCCGGCTCATGCTAACAATCCTAGGGCAAACTCAGGTAGGGATAATAATAACAACAACAACAACAACAACAACAACAACAACAACAACAACAATTTATTATTTATACCCCGCCCATCTGGCTGGGTTTCCCCAGCCACTCTGGGCAGCTTCCAACAGAATATTAAAATAGAATAATCTATTAAACATTAAAAGCTTCCCTAAGCAGGGCTGCCTTCAGATGTCTTCTAAAAGTCTAAAAGAAAACATTGATTTCTGCTCCGGCCCACATTTGTCACATTGCTGTTTCCATTCAGCTGCAGTTCAGCTTCTGAGGGAAATGATGTTATCTGTTGCAGATATTGACATAATTAGTTATGTAAATAATTGTGCGATTATTATGCAATTCCACACCGTTCATTTCAACGCAAAGGAAACACAATGCAAATGGTGGGGAAAGTCATTGATTACGTAATCGTTTGCAGAATACAAACCACAGAAGGAAATACCAATCGTATTTGCTGCATTGGTTTCCCCTCCAGACATGGTAGAAATAAGCGTACATTGGCAATTTCTGCCCCCATTTGCATCAGAATTCTTCAACATACCTAGGCATGGGAAACCTGTGGCCCTCCAGATGTTGCTAAACTGCAGATCCCATCAGCACCAGCCAGAATGATGCATAGTCAGGGATGATGGGAGCTGAAGCTAAACTTGTGGGAGGCCACAAGTTCCCAAATCCTATCCTATAAACAGTTCCAGGCATAGCCTGAAAGCAGGGAATTAGGAAGAGGGAGTAAACCCCACTTCCTGTTTATGAGTGGTGGCAAGGGCAGACTTGTATGGGAGAGATGTGCAAACTGATTCCATTTCTGGGATAAGCACATCTCCCCTAAATGAGTCCCTTCTCTAGCTTTATACCAGCTGTGTAAAAATAAGGAGCTCAGCTCATTCATGACTCCCATTGGTCCACAAAGCCACTTCCAACCTCGGGAGGAGGTGGTGATGCGGGCTTCACACCCCCAACACGTGCGCGGAGGCTGGCTTCCAGCCCCCGCGCGATCAGGGGAATCCTCGGGCCGCGTCATCCCCTGAGCGTGGCCCCGGGATGCATCAGCAGGGCTCCCCCTGTTGGTGTTAAGCCTTCCTGGTCGTCAAGCAAACAGGCTGAAGCCGGATAGTCGGATAGGACCAATGCCTAAGCCAATACCGCTCTTTACCTGTAACCAATTTGGCCAATTTTAGCCCATTAACCTAAAATAATGTTGTCATGTGTCTTTATTCCTACTGGTGGGAGGCGGGAACTCGCCACGCAACTAGGTAATCTTAAATGCATGTGAAAATTGGATTGAACAGAGATCACTAACCTAAGGGTTTTGCCAGTGAGGCTTCCCTTAAAAAATGTTTTACTTACCTCCAGGCCCTTTGTAGGTTGTCTAGGTGTGAAGGAACCATTTCTGCCTGCCAGGCCTTAACGTCATTTCCAAAGCTGCAAGAAACACAGAACAAATAACTAAACGCTGTTTCACAGCATATCAGCCTGCAACAGAAGATGCTTGAGCGGTTCAGGTTCCAAAAACAGTGGCAATTCTACATCTATTGACCTGGCAGTAAGTTGCACTGCACTCAGTGAGTAGGCATGTATAGGATTGCACTCTCGGACACTGAGCTGCAATGGGTGCTTTCTGCTATTCTGAGCCTAAACATTCAGAGGAATAAAAACATAAGAAGAGGCCTGCTGGATGAAGTCAATGGCCCAACTAGTCCAGCATCCTGTTCTCGGAGTTGCTAACCAGATGCTTTTGAGAATCCTGCAAGCAGGAACAAAGCCCAAGAGCACTTTCCACTCCAGCAACTGTTTTTTATTCAGAAGCATTCCTGCCTTGAAGGCAAAGCAATAGCTATCATGGCTGTTGTTGTTTAGTCCTTTAGTTGTGTCCGACTCTTCGTGACCCCATGGACCAGAGCACGCCAGGCACTTCTGTCTTCCACTGCCTCCCGCAGTTTGGTCAAACTCATGCTGGTAGCTTCGAGAACACTATCCAACCATCTCCTCCTCTGTCGTCCCATTCTCCTTGTGCCCTCCATCTTGCCCAACATCAGGGTCTTTTCCAGGGAGTCTTCTCTTCTCATGAGGTGGCCAAAGTATTGGAGCCTCAGCTTCAGGATCTGTCCTTCCAGTGAGCACTCAGGGCTGATTTCCTTCAGAATGGATAGGTTTGATCTTCTTGCAGTCCATGGGACTCTCAAGAGTCTCCTCCAGCACCATAATTCAAAAGCATCAATTCTTTGGCGATCAGCCTTCTTTATGGGCTATCATGGCTAGTAGCCCATTAATCAGAAGGTTAATTTAGCAAGGATGCCAAATGCTCATGGACAGACCTACCCCCAAGAAATGGTTTCAACCATTGCATGGCAGTTACTTACGCTATGATATTGAAGAAATCCTTGCTCGACATCTGCTCCTCGAGTAAAAGTCGCAGGGAATGTTGGATATGAATGATGTACATGGCATTTGTTTTGGAGACATCAATAAGAATGACAATCCTGTATGAGAGACCACCAGCATCAGAGACACAACTTTTAGATCAACGTTTTCCCATTTTTATTGTCTAGAAATTTTGAAGGGAAACTATACTGGCATCAAAGGCTTTGTGGGGGGGGGTCATAGCTCAGTAGTGCAATTTCTTGAAGATGGGAGTGGAATTGTGCTCAAGGAACATTCTAGGTCTACAAGTGTGTGAAGCTCTGCTGGAGGGGAAAGGGTAGGGAGACCCTTAATGAAGACGAAGTTTTCTGATCCCTAACCATTTTAGACAATTTATGCCCTGCTGCCAGTTGCCTTTAAAAAAGCAGCTAAGGAGACAGAGCTTTTAAAAAAGCAGATCCTGAACATGCATACTCACCAAATGCATGGAAGCATCCATATTTCAAGATAGGGATTGGGAACCTGTAGCTCTCCAGATGCTGTTGGACTACAATTCCCATAAGCCCTGGTGCCATTCTATTGGCTATACTGGGACATTAGAGTGAAGGGCAGGCAATAAATTTATTAATAATATCTGTTTTTCATTCTTTCTTGTACACTGTCATGTGTAGGGTGGCGTGGAAATGTTCAGAATACATCTCTCTCTCTCTCTCTCTCTCTCTCTCACACACACACACACACACACACACACACCCCACAGCAATTTAGGGCATCGTTTTACAAAACTGGATGCGGATAAGCAAAACACTGATACCTCTTCTCACAAACAGTCCCCCAAATTCTTCTACTAGCTGTGGAGAGCCAGTCTACCCGTCTCTCATACATCCTCACCAGTCTGCCAAGCCGTTTCTGTAGATGCAATTCAAAACATAGTTGATGAGAACGATTACTTGCTCATTTCAGACAACTGCTTCAGCAACCGTTCCATTCTTTGAGTACGCTCTTGGTTGTATGGGCCACATACACCTTTCCCCCCTCCATTCTTAACTGCCTCAAATAAATTAAAAATTCCCAGAACCAAAATGTAATAAGATAGACTTCACGCCAAGCATGATGCCTTGATAATAACTGCTTCCCCTTTCTTTGGGTGCCTCTTCCTATAGCAGTCCTGGTGTGTATTCTGGTTCTGTGGTCACTTCCTGACAACCTGCTTACTGAGAGTTCACAGGAACATAGGAAGCTGTCTTATACCAAGCCAGGCCATTGGTCAATCTTGCTCAGTATTGCCTCCATTGATTGGCAGCAGCTCTCCATGGTTTCACAAAGGAGACATTCCCAGTCCTGCCTGGAGATGTTGGGGAGTGGATCCTGGACCTTCTGCATGCAAGGCATGTGATCTGCCGTTGAGTCTTACCCTTTGCTAGTGAGGAGAGTACTGAGCTAGATAGGCCAATGCAATATCAGGTAGCTCCCTACGTTCATCTTCAACCTGTGCACAAAGTTCACAGAGTGATTAGATGACAACAACTGTTTGTCAAGCCTTCATTCTGATTTGTTTGTGGGGAGGTTAGATGACATGTGTATCTTAGTCAAAACTGCACACAAAAAGAGCGGTTGGCTTAGATTAAACTGGAATGCCATTAACTCTGGCCGTGGGGATTCATGTCTAGGTCCTTCAGTCACCTGATAGTCATACAGTATGGGTGGATCAACGTGAATATTTTTAATCGTCCCATCATGCCATTCAAACTGGGTCATTGCTTTCTGAAACAAGGAGCGAGAGAGAGAGGCAGAGAGAGATAAAATTAATCATATGTTCCGGTAACAAGTCTGACAACCAAATCACCATTCCGGTGACAGTTTGCTTCAGGGTGGGCAAAGAATGGTACCTGATGGATGCCAACAACCAACAGAGCATGGGTGGCTAACCTGTGACCCTCTACAGCTGTTGTTGGACTACAACGCCCTTCATCTCTGGGCTGTTGGCCATGTGGGGTACGGGGTGTTGGACCACATGGCCTCCAGATTCTAATCTAAAACTCTTTACTTACCTCATGTAATGTGGACGATACCATTTTCTGAAGGACGGGCACAAATTCTTCCACAGGGGAGAAAGCATTGGGTGCCAAAACTTGATAAAGGCTTAATTTCCTGGCTGTAGCAAACAAGGAACCAAAATGTAAATGAAAGGCCTGTTTAGATGGATCAAGCAGGCTTCATTTCACATGGAACCTTTTGGCCAGGGATGGGAAAATCTCTGATCCTGAGGCCAAATGCTTCTCTATTTGCCATATGGAACTTCCCACAGCCCTCACAGGCCTTACTTCACAGCCTGAATATTTTTGCCTGGCTGGGATGTGTCACTGAACTCTAGTTGTGCCTCTTTCTTGCTTGGATGGAAAGGGGCAGGTGAGCGTATACTGAAATTGTTATTATTATTTTTAATGATATTTTATTAAATTTTAAGAAGAAAAAAGATTACAAAGACAACAACAAAAATTAAACACAAAAAGATTACCAAAAAAAGAAGATTACAAAAACCAAGAGTTCAACTCAAAAACAAGACAAAAATAAAAAATAAAAAATAAAATCCCTCCTTTCAGGTTTTTCGACATTCTTTCACTTGTTCTCCTGACCTCCTCCCACCTCCCTCTTTGTATTCCATTAAAAAAATTGTTCAGCAATTTCAGACTTATTACTCAAACCTCTTCATTTTTTATATTAATCTCATTAATCCTTATCTTATCCTCTTGATCTTGAAAATTATTAAACATACACCATTTTGACTTTTCTGCTAAAGCCAATTGTTCCTTTCCAGCATCTCTTAATATTTCATTAGTATTACACTAATTCCATAAATATAGGTTTATTACAAAAAGCATTTCTCATTCTAAATTTATCCAACGTCCCTTTTTCTGGTTCCGGTTAATGTCAGTCCTTATATCATTATATCATCCTCAGTCCGGTGTTCTAATGTCTGAGGCCCTCAGGTCACTTCTAAGCCCCCTCTGCGGGTTTTCTTGTTTCTGTTTGTAGTTGCATACATCCTTGTTCCCCGTTGGGTTCTTTTGCAATTTCTTCTCTTTCTCTTTGGGGAGCCAATCTCCGGGGAGTTCCGTGCCGTAATATTCTTCATTTCCTTTCATCCAGTTGTCCCATTCCCCGGTGATGCACTCCCCATCATTTAATTTGTAATCCAGAAAGCAGTTATTCCAGAAATGATCTTCCACCTGTTTCACAGTCCCACCAGAGATAACACTTTTCTTAAATCCAAAATTTAGCCAGTGTCCTCCAAGTTCCATTTCCCAATGTTGCAGCTTTTGGTCATGTAGGACTTGAAGTCTCTTTATCTTTTGAGGTGCATTCACAGCCTCTTCCACCTTTCTCTGCCCTTGCACTTGCTCTGTTAAGCCAGCTTCCTGAGTAGGTTGTTGTGCAGTTTCTGTGACTGCATTTCCCCTTGACACCTCCTTGTTAACTGCAGCTGTTATATAGACCATCTGTTGATTCATCCGAGATACTTTCTCATCCAGCTGGAGCAGTACATCATATATTTTGTCCAGGGTAGATAAAACTTCCTTTCTAGTCATTTTGTCAAGGTCAGGGAGCTAGTCCCACGGTCTATTTTTCCTACTTAGATTGTTCTCCTTGTAGATTGTAACAAACACACTAGCTGACTTCCTCTAGGGGGTGTAGTTACTTTTTGGCATCCATTTTTAAAATGTAACCAACAAGGAAAAAGTTACTTTCAATTCTCAGATATTTTGTTTCCTTTCAACGTAAAACAAACAGGCAGAAAGGAGCGTTTAGAATTATTTTTTCCCCTTTTCCAGTTCTATCTGTCAATTGTAGGCATCACCAACGGTTTCTTTCCTGTCATTCCGTCCCCAGATTAGGGACAGTGGAAGCTTACTTTCTTAACACACTCTCAGCAGGATTTAAAAGTCAAATTTCTCCCCCTTTCCTCCTGCTGGCTAGGGGGGTTGATGATTAAAAATGCAGGAAATTCCCAGCTGTCAATTTACCCGGCTTTTAGCTTATAAGATCTTTGCTTTATTCTTTATACAAGGAACGGGAGGCGGACTTCCTGTTTACACCTTCCAGTCTCGGTTCAAATTCAAAGATGTTTTTTTAAGTCCAAAAGTTTCAGTTATCCTACTCACGGGTTGTTGTTTAAAGTCCAAATTGTCACAGGAAAAAGGACAGCGCTCTCCGACATCGGCTATGCAGCTTCGCTCCGCAGAAGTAGCGATTGACTCTCAGCACCACGTCAACCCCCGTCTCACTCCGGAGCCCTTAATAGGGTCCCTTTGCTAAATGGGGGGGGGGCGCAAAAGGTGCCCGCCGAGTCCCACGGTCGCAGGCTTCTTCCGCCTGCGATTTTTGAAAGGGTCCCCGCTTCGCTGCAGCGGTAAGACCCGGTTTCTGTGGAGCTGTCTCCCTCTGGATCAGAGGGAATCCGCCATTGTCGGAGGCGCCGCCTCCAGAAGTCGCGTATACTGAAATTAGTCTACTGTACAAAGGTAACATCTTCATCTGTTGTGCCATCTATCTTTATTTCCCCGTGACCTTGCCCCACTAATTAATCCACGTGGAAACAGGCAGTGGCAACTAAAATCTCATCCCTGGGCTTCTCTCCAGGTCTTCTACTTAACATGGGATACGATCAGGCTAAAGCATTCATTAAACAACGTGTAGTAGACACAGAGTGCCAATTGGATCCACCAGGTACCTTGCCTCCTCTATGGCATATCTAACTAAAATCAAAGTCCCTAAACACCGAAGGGCTTTTACCCTGGCTCAATGTCACGCCCTTCCCTAGGTCGTTATTGAAGGCAGATACAGGAAGATTGACTACCCAGAGAGACAATGCCCCTGTGACTCAGGACAAATCGAAAAGGTAGAGCATGTCCTTCTCTAGTGCCTGTATTACAGAGACATTCGTACCTGCCTGATTTCCCCATTACTTCATAAGCACCCAGGGTGAACAGGACAATTTTACATCTCCCTGCTGCTCTCGGATACTGATCCTGATGCAATTTATAGTGTTGCTAGGTTATACACAGCAGCACTCGAGATTCGTAGGAGGATGACCTGTGCCACAAATCAGCTTTAATTAACATATCAGAGTGCTCGGTAAATGATAGTTAAAGCCTTTATAGATCAGCCTTTTGTGCTCCTCCACACCCGCCCAATGTTCCTGACCCTTCTTTTGAATTCTTTTAGCTTCTTTTAAATTCTTATAGACTTTTACATTCACTTTGTGTTTTAATACCTTTTAGCTTTCTAAAGAGCTTTTTAGATTTTTAAATGCCGGTCTATGACTGTAATAAAGATTTGTTGTTGTTGTTGTTGTGCCATCCATGTTTGCCTTTGGCTCCTCCCACCACTGGCAAATGGACCTCAGAACGTTGCCCAGAAGGGAATACGATTCTCAGGCTGAAGAAGGTTTCCCACACCCAACCCTTGCCCTTCCAGTCTACTTTACCTTTTAGTCCATTCGTTTTTAACCATTCAGCCGAGGTTTGGGCCGAAAAGCTTGGGATTTGTATTGCAAGAGGACAATCATGTTTTGGCGGCTTTGGCAGGGAGGTTTCAGAGGGAAGCTTCAAACACTCCATGGAACCCTAAATAAGGATATTTAAAATTTCATCTACAAAATCCTGCATTTCCATTTCGTCTCCTCCAAACGCCCCAAAGCTGGGAACATATTAATGGAACATTTAAAAAGGCATTCCAATCTACTTATCTCTTTCCTACATTTTTTCTCTTGTCCACTCCCTAAGATCAAGGGTAGACAACACAGTGCCTTCCAGATATTGTAGAAATGTAGTCCCAATAAAGAACCACACTCATTAAAAATATGTAGCATTGATCAAAACATCCACATTCAGGGGCAGTGGCGTAACGTGGGGGGTGCAGGGGGGGCCGGCCGCACCGGGCGCAACATCTGGGGTTAGGGCAAATCCACGGGTTAGGGGGCGCAAATCCACGGGTTAGGGGGCGCAAATTACTTGCCTTGCCCCGGGTGCTGACAACCCACGCTACGCCGCTGTTCAGGGGCAATATGCCTTTTGGTTATTGCAAGTTGCTGGGCCACAACAGCAGAAAAGGGCTATTGTCTTTAGGTGTTCTGGGGGTGACAGGCTGGCTTCTGTAAGCCGATGGATTCTGACCTAGACATGTCTTTGGTCTGATCCTGCAGGGTTCTTATGTTCCTAGGCACCAGCATAATTTCCACAGTTGCACCCCAGCCTCTCTCATTGGGGGAAAAAAAAGATTGTCACAATACATACAGCAAACACATCAAGGCTTTTCTTTTTTATATGTAAAAAAAGTGCAGACCACACGTTCTCAACTGTGTGGAATATTTTTTAAAGGCACTAACAACCTCACCTCAGTCTCTCAAAATCCCAAGCTGACACCTTCCACAAAACTTTGAAACAAAAGAACTTTTTTAAAAGGCTTTACAAATATAGGTAAAAGAAAGGTTTAGATTGTGAGGCTGAGGACAGAGACTGTCTTATCGTTGACAATCGTAAGCCGCCATTCGTGAGACTTTTTTGGCTGAAGCGAGGGATATGCCTGCTGTTTTTAAGATAATAAAATAAAATGAGTAGAGAGCTCTAATTTGACTCAGGACTCATCAGAACTATTTACATAATGGTATCACTACAATGCGTTTCTCTGTGGCTGAACACTAATTAGATGTCCAGCAGCTTTTTTAGATCTACTGGTCTTTTTAAAATAAAACAGCCGATTAAATGAGATCAGGTACTTACTTGTTTCATTACGTTAAAAAGTGTGTCACCCATCCTCCCCTGGTAGATTTCATTTATGATGTTGAGCAACTCCTTGGCCTTTTGGCGTTCAAGAAGGATCAGTTGAATATCAGTGCTGTCACAATTCTGATCACGCAACAGAATTAAAAAGCCAATCAGATTTATTCTTCATTGCTTGCGGGTATACTGTCTTAGCGACCTTTTATTATTATTTATTTAAAGCATTTTTCTTTTCTTTTTTGTTGATACAATCCACTAGCAGTTAACAGACACAGGAAACTCTGACTAAGAGGTTAATTTTAAAATGGCAACATATAAAGTGACGAATGCTAAAACAGACGCTAAAATTCTGCAAGCAGCAGCAGCTTCAAAATAAAGGTGGAGGAAAGAGTGAGTGAACCAAAAATGAATTACCAAAAGCCTGGCAGGCTTTAATGCAATCAGCCCCCAATTATCTGAAAGAGCACCTCCTTCCTTATAGACAAACCCAGAGATTAAGATCAGTGAAAGAGATCCTCTTAGAGATTGGGTGGGGATGGTGGCTCATGAAGTAGCCTCAGACTCCACAAATTGTATTTAGTTATACATTAAAGGTAAAGGTAAAGGGACCCCTGGCCATTAGGTCCAGTCATGGCTGACTCTGGGGTTGCAGCGCTCCTTTCGCTTTACTGGCCAAGGGAGCTGGCATACAGCTTCCAGGTCATGTTGCCAGCATGACTAAGCCGCTTCTGGCGAACCAGAGCAGTGCACGGAAACACCGTTTACCTTCCCGCCAGAGTGATACCTATTTATCTACTTCAAACTGCTAGGTTGGCAGGAGCAGGGACCGAGCAACGGGAGCTCACCCCGTCACGGGGATTCGAACTGCCGACCTTCTGATCGGCAAGTCCTAGGCTCAGTGGTTTAACCCACAGCGCCACCCGCGCCCTCAGTTACACATTAACACTTATTTATATAGCACCATCAACGTACTTGTCTCAACCGCTTTTCAAGCCATCCAAGTTGGTTGTCATCACGGCCCCCCCCCCGTGGGAGCATCTGCTCACCTGGCACTCTGCACAGGTGGCCATTGCTGCACGACATGTCTGTGGTGGGTTTAGGGAATATGCTATGTTCCAGAGCAGGTGGGGAAGCTGATGGTCACCTGGCGCTGCCCGCCTCCAGCCATGTTGGGCTCTCAGGTAAGAGCAGGCAGTGCCTGCTTAGCCAATCAGAGGCAGGGGCGTGGGGGCTGCGACCCCTAGCCTATTTAAGGGGATAGCCAGGTACAGGCCACCCTCTTGGCACTCTTATGAGCTCATAAATAAGTTTCCTGTCCACTTCTACAACCTTATGAGAGGGCGAGGCAATCACCAAGCACTTTGCTAACAACAATGTTTTAAAATAGTGTAATTGTCCAAGTGAGGAGTGACCTACCTCTCTCTTTGAGGAGTAACAGTGATAATAGCCTCCCACATCTTCTGCTATGCTTCTTACCACACCCTGCATAGATTGCATCAAAGAAAATGGTTGAGTGCAGAACGCCTGCATAAATCCCCATGTTCACTAAACCTAGGGTTGCCATACGTCTGGACATAGCCGGTATTCAGCCCTCTTAAACAGTGTCCGGGCGGAAAGCACTGAAATGTCTGGGAAATGGCAGCCCCCAAAAAGTTCAACTAACAAACAATGAGAAGGGGTGAGTGTTTCTTTGTTGTTGCTCACCTAACTATGGCATCAAAAACAGCCCTGCACTTGTAGGCATAACCACATAACGAACATAATGTGTAGCTGGGTCCTTAGTGTGCTTCAGTAAGACTCAAGTAGTGAAAGAAGGAACATAGAAAGTTGTCTTATACTAGATGAAATTTGCCGCCTAGCTCAGTCTTGTCTCCAGGCTAGGGATGGGCAAATCTATGCAATTTTGCCTAAGAGACACATTTTTTGCAAAGCAATTTCCCCTTATGCAATGGTTTTTTAACACAATATCCACCGATATGTGCATTTTCCAACACACTAGTATATGCATTTTTGTACACATTTCTTTGTTGAAGAAATGCATTGAACTGCGCTTTGATTCGCATATTGCTTTGGGAAGTGTGAATTAAGGAGGTTGGCCTATAAAAACGAACTGACTCGAATTTCTCCCTCCTTCACAGCTGGAGAGCTTCTACCACATCAGCTGCACTTGCCTGGTCCTTTTAACTAGAGACAGACCAACCAGAGGCTGAACCTGAGACCGTCTTGACTCAAAGCATACGCATTGCCCTAGAGCTACGCTACCCTCCCCAGACAAACTTACAGTAGGAACTTGATTGCTACAGTCATATGTGACAGTGTGGACCAACAGCTTTCTCCCCACGGTACATTCCTGGATATACTCAGACAATATTTCCGAGGCTTGATCTGGGCTGGTTTGGGAAGGGTGGCAGGAGGAAAAACACACACATGAATATCAAACACAGGATGGATCCCTAGAAAAGGGATGAAGAACCTGTGGCCCTCCAGATACAGATACTGATACAATTCACATCATCACCCCTGAGACCATTGGCCATGTTGGCTGGGGCTTACGGAAGCTGCATACACTGTGTACCAGGCATCCCCAAACTTGGCCCTCCAGATGTTTTGGGACTACAATTCCCAGCTTCCCTGACCACTGGTCCTGTTAGCTGGGGATGATGGGAGTTGTAGTCCCCAAATGTCTGGAGGGCTGAGTTTGGGGGTGCCTACAATAAAAATTTAAAGCTCCCCCGCAAAGGATTCTGGGACCTGTAATTTGAGTGCCTCTCTGTGGAGGAAGTAACTCTGTGAGGAATAAATGACAGTTCCCAAGATTCTTGGGGATGTGCAGATATATGCTATAAAACAGGGGTCAGCAAACTTTTTCAGCAAGGGGCTGGTCCACTGTCCCTCAGACCTTGTGGGGGGCCGGACTATATTTTTTTGGGGGGCGGGAATGAACGAATTCCTATGCCTCACAGATAACCCAGAGATGCATTTTAAATAAAAGCACACATTCTACTCAGGTGAAAACATGCTGATTCCTGGTCCGTCCGCGGGCTGGATTTAGAAGGTGAATGAGCCGGATCTGGCCCCCAGGCCTTAGTTTGCCTACCCATGCTATAAAAGGTAAAAATGTACTTTTAAGCTTTAAGCGTATGGCATGTGTGAATCTAGTGTCCATCAACAGCTGGAGAACCACATTCTCTATCCCAGTCCTGCAATATTTGGGGCTTTTAGACTTAAGAAGAAGAAGAGGAGGAGAGTGGGGAAAGTGATAAACTTGTGCATGATGTGGGGACAGTGTAAAGATAGACATGTTCCTCCCTTACTTATACTAGAACTGAGTATAGGAATTTAAATAATACAGGTGAAAAAGCAAAGTGGTGCTAAGGAAATTGCTCTACCAGAGCAAGCATTTCTCCCTGATGGAATGATCTTCCCTCCCCACCCACCCCTGAAATGAATGCAACAAGTTCATTCATTTCAATGGGTCTACTCTGAACAGGACTCACATTGGATACAGCCTAAAAGACAGTGCCTTGCCATGTATTCGGACAGATGACCTACCAGCTTCCTACCACAATCACCAGTGAATTCAGTTCTTTTACTGTAAGGGCTTTCTTCAGTGCTTTGAGCAAATTGCAGCCGCCGCTGGGTTTGAGATTTAGCACCCATTGCCTTGCTTCATCTAAACTAAAGGGGGAAAACAATAATTTGAAAGTGGAATCTATTGTACATCAATTAGATACTAGCAAAAGAGGTATGATAGGCAGGCAAGATGAAATAAACGGGCAACACGCAATGCCCCCAGGGTGCACATCACACCCCCAGGACAGGCACCAGCCACGCCCCCGCCTGTTCTCCACTCCGGGGGTTGCAGCATGTTGTTCCGCCACTGTTGTGAATGACCACTTCAGAGGCCTTTCTGGCTAAAAGGCAGCCTAGAAATAAACTCTAATAATAACAATGTTGGTCTTCGAAAGGCCTTTCAATTAGGAAGGACAAAACTCTCCCCCCTCCCAATATAAACTTATGGAATTTTCAGCCACAAAGAATGTTGCTGACCAATGGTCTGTACGGCTTGAAAGTGGAATTAGAAAAATTCATGGAAGTGATGTCTTCTCTAAAGCTGTCACCACAGTTAATTGGAACCTTCATGTCATGTAGCTCAGTGGCAGAGGATATCTGCTTTGTGTGCAGAAGATTCCAGGTTCTATTCCTTGCTAAATATAATTGTTTAATTGTACACTGAAATGGAGAATGCCAGTATGCATGTTGCCGAAAGGATTTTACATTGGAAAATTTCACTGAAGCATACTGAAGCTCTCTCAGCTTCTGATATTTAACTGTTGGTGTTCTCTGCTAGCTCTCATGTGAGTGTTTAACCCAGGGGTGGGCAAGGTTTACCTCGCCTGGGCCGGTTCACTCCAGTGGAGATCCCTCCGTGGGCCGGATCATGAGTGTGCGCCCGTGATTTCTGGCATCTGCGCAGACACGGTTCCCAGTGCCATGGAAGTGAGTCCCCAAGCCGCACCGCACCCGTTTAGCACAGCGCGTGGGGACTCACCGAGCAGGCGGCTCAGTTCGGGGGCGGCCCGTGGGCCGCTCGTGGCCCATGGGTCTTAGGTTGCTGACCCCTGGTTTAACCTTAGAACAGGCGATTAAGGTACAGTGGTACCTTGGGTTACAGACGCTTCAGGCTACAGGCGCTTCAGGTTACAGACTCAGCTAACCCAGAAATAGTACCTCAGGTTAAGAACTTTGCTTCAGGATGAGAACACAAATTGCGCAGTGGCGGCACAGCAGCAGCAGGAGGCCCCATTAGCTAAAGTGGTACCTCAGGTTAAGAACAGTTTCAGGTTAAGAACGGACCTCCAGAATGAATTAAGTTCTTAACGCGAGGTACCACTGTATTCAATTGCACATCTCCATTTTGAAAGGGAATTGCCTTTACCTTTTGTTCCCAGGCACAGGGAGAGGAAAGATGTGATAATGAAGCCTCTCCAAGAGCTGCGTAGCCTTAGGCTGCATGCAGGCTAATGTAAGCTATGGGAGAGACAGAGCTTTGATTTCTGCTCTGATCGTAATTATGCTATCTAAGAAAAAGAATCTACGTATGTTTGGACAAGTATATGCTCTACACAACTTTCTGGCTATATCATTGATGTTTTTGTACCTGCTTTGAAGAAGTTCTGGTTAGTAAAGCTTTGAATCATAATTATGGGTCTGGACAACTTTTATTTCAAAAGGAGTCAGCTTTTATGCATCCATTTGCTTCATGCTGCACCATATTAATATCTGCAATATCCCTGGCAGTTAGTGGAGATAGCTTTAGAAGAGGATTAGACATGGAGGCTAAAAGGCTATTAATGGCTATGAGCCACAATATTCTCCCTCCACTGCTTTTGAATGGCAATTTCTGGGTATCATAAATGGGGAGAGTGTGCTGTTGTACGCAGGCTTCCTATGGGTATCTGGTGCAAGATGCTAGACTAGATGGGCCTCTGGCAGGATCTAATAGGACTCTTTTTATGTTCCTACTAAAGGAACCCAGAGTGGCATACAGCACAATCATAAACCCATACAGTATAAGAAGAACAACTAGCAACCATTATCTGGAAAAAAACCCCAATATATAATATAACCAAGACCAACACACACACATAAATACTTTAGAGCCAAGCAACTCACTTACACCTTCTCGTCGATAAATCTTGGCTTCTCCCAAAGTAATGAAATATTGGTACCAAATGAAAGGAAGTATAACTTCTTCAAGTAAAGCAGCTGCTCATCTATTACAGACTTAAGCAGAAAACAAAAGGTGGCAATTAGCTGCTTGCCAAGCTATATAGCAAGCCTAAATCAAGCTCTACATCAAGCTGAAGTTGTCTTATTTCTTTTCCTACATTCATATCCTGCAATCATAGAACCCAAGAGAGCATCCATGTGGCTCTGAAATGGTCACCCACCCAGACACAGACCAAACAGACTTTCACATTGATGGTAGGTTACATGCCTTCAGGCCAGATCTCTCCAACATAGTGCCTTCCAGATGTTCCAGGCTACAAGTCCATCAACCCCAGCCAGCACTAGGGCCGGTGGAATTTTTAAGCCAAAACATCTGGAAAGCACCAGGTTGGTGAAGACCATACCCTGGCACTAGTATATTTTGTTTATGGCATTGCCATACACTGCAAATGAATAAAATGTATAAACAGTGACCAATGCCAAGCCTTTTTTCCTCTCCTCCCTCTGCTAGCTTTTCTGCTCTGCTTTAGTTTGCCCTTTTTGTTTTTATGGTTGCATTTGATATAAAAAGGACAAAGTCAAGAAAAATATTAGTACTTAAAACCAAAAAGATTATCAGGGATGCCCCCTGAAGAAGACTTTGAATTCTTAACTCCAACCCTTCTTCCCCACAGATCAGCTTGTCATGTTGTCATTTTCTAGTTGGGAAAATAAAAAAAATTCAACCCCATCTTGGTGTTAAGCCTGAATGAAATTAATCTCTGACTACTCCCAAACACAACAGCTACAGTTGCTGAACAGAATTTTCTATCCTAGAAGAAGCTGCCTGCTGCCTGACAACAAGAAATGAACTAATAAATATATCAGCTGAAGACTGGAAATACTGAATGAAAATTAAACATACTGCATTCGAGAAGTTCATTAACGAAGCCATACACAACTACAACCAGAAAATAAGAAAGATGCCAAATTTAAATTTATGTTAAATTTGTCTGATCATGATTATGAAACTTTTTTTTTTACTACAGGAGTTATATAGATTGTGTTCACTCTCACCAAGAATTAAGTGTCTCGCCTCTCAAAAAATTCACCGCCACCCATTTCAATTCCCAGGGGAAAGAAATTGCCAGAAAGGAAATGTGGCAGTTGGTTAAATAATTATATGCAACTGCAGCATATAAACATCACCTGTCCATCGATAGAGCAAGGTAGCTCACATTATCTAAATCCAGTGAGGCATGATATAAAAAGGCCAATACTCAGAGCTATATCCAGTGTTTGTCCTACTTAAGTATAGGCCTTTCAAAATTAATTGTCATGACTAGTTTGGGTTGATTAATTTCAATGGTTATATAAAACTAAGTTCTCCTCATCCATTAGGATTAATGAACATAAGTTAGTAATGTCCATTTATTCCAATGGGTCTACTAAAACTCATTTGAATACAGTACGACCATATATTTCCCTACTCAGGCCTCAAAGATACAGGCTGATAAAAATGTGAAGGAAATTAGACGAAAAGGCAGTGACTTGCCCAAGGCTTCCTACAGAGCATCATAGCCAATGAAACCTACATTTCGCCAGCCCAAAATGCTACCCACAAGTACATCATCATCTCTGATATTAAGAGTTAGCAAGTGCTTCAATAACATTTACCAGAAGATCTCTTTGGAAATCCTGCAGTCTGGGTCCACAGTTTACATCTGATGTGTCAATCAGAACTCCAACTTTATCCCCACGGATCATACCAAATATCTGGAAGGGGGAGAAAAAACAAAACAAAAGGAATGTTAAGGGGTGGCTCCCTGTGATCCAGCGCCAGGAGTGAACCAACAGAGTGGTGTTGGATGCTCCCGTTGGGATAGTGCATTTTTGGGATCACATGGGTTGAGGTTTCACACACAAGGGGTTCCCAAACACACATGTCTATTAGACCCCATGTTAACAGGGTACTGATTTGAAGGGAAATATAATAAGAATGGAAACCGTTAATAGTTTTTAGGAGAGAGGAAATTGTTCAAAAGACTTTGAGACTGCGAGAAGCCAAGTTACAGGGAACCAGGCAGAGGGCCTTCTTGGTAGTGGCCCCCACCCTGTGGAACGCCCTCCCACCAGATGTCAAAAAGAAAAACAACTACCAGACTTTTAGAAGGCACCTGAAGGCAGCCCTGTTCAGGGAAGCTTTTAATGTTTAATAGGTTATTGTATTTTAATATTCCATTGGAAGCCATCCAGAGCGGCTGGGGAAACCCAGCCAGATGGGCGGGGTATAAATAATTTATTATTATTATTATTATTATTATTATTATTATTATTATTATTATTATTATTATGTACTGATGTTCTCACCCTGGGCCAGCAGGGGGATACTGTAGATAGTTATGCAAATGAAGGATCGAAAAGTGACGTTCTGTGATTGGATAGTTTTAGAAAGTTGCAACAGTTACAATTGTTCTGGAGCTCTATATAAGCAGGCTGACTGAGCTCCTCAGTTAGTTCTGTTCCAGCTTACAAATAAAGAGCTGCTTGGAAGAATCGCTGTGTCGTCTGATATGTTCACCCACAACTTAACAATTATCATTATTATTATCATTATTATTATTCCAATGATGTACAAATGCCTCTAGTCAAGCAGGTGCAAAGTTGTCAAGATCCAGGCTGAAATCCCAAATCACGCTCTTCTTTTGCTTTGCATTTCCTCTTGGCTGAAGCTGCAGAGACCAAAATGATGTACAGGAGCTGCTGCTCCTCCTCCCTGCCCCTTGCTGGTCAGACCACAAATTTGCTAGCGCCACTTGCCCCATCTTCATTTTTGTGATGCATAAACAGTGTCCTTTAGGTTAGGGGTAAGGAACCTGTTCCCCATCAGATATTGCTGGTTCTTCTCTTCCTTCATCCATGACCATTGGCTGTGTTGTCGGAGGCTGATGGGAGTTGGAGTCCAGCATGGCCCTTGGTCATGGACAATGGGAGATAGAGATCAGCAATATCTGGAGAGCCACAAGACCCTCACCACAGCTTTAAGTGAACAATTTGTGCACAATACCTTCCTGCTATCCTGCAGCAGCCACTCAATGCGTCTGTCATAGAGAGCAATAGTTCTGTGGGTGGGTGGGAAACAGAAGAAATGCAGTTAGTGCAATAAAAATTGTAAGATATTGCAATGGTGTTAAGAGATGAATTTCCACCTTTCTTATTCTAAATTCAAGTGGGAGAACATAAGATAGGGTTACCAGACGTCCCCAGTTCCCAGGGACAGTCCCCGGCTTTGCAAATCTGTCCCCGGACAAATTCCGTCCCCGGAATGTCCCCAGATTTGCAAATCTGTCCCCGGGAAACGTGGCAGCGGCAGTCTCAGCAGCCTGGAACCAGCCTGGTAGCACAGCTGGCTCTGGCTGGCTGTGGGCTGCTGTCTGCTGCTACCGCCACCACTGCCAAAGGGGAACCAGGGATGTCTGGCAGTACAGATCTCCTGCCCCCTTCCCCCTTTGTTTTGACTGATGGGGAGGCTCAGGAGTTGCGGGCAGGTGGCTGTTGCCCAGGAGGGGCGCAAGGCACATGGTTTCTCTGCCAGGCAAGGTGCAAAGCCCTTCTTTCGCACCCTGTGAAACATAAATGCACAGTTTTTAAAAAACTGGGCAACGGTGCACCACGCGCCCATGACTCCTGAGCCTCCCCCAATCTCCTGCCCCCTTCCCCCTTTGTTTTGACAGATTGGGGAAGGCTCAGGAGCCATGGGCGGGCAGCCATTGCCCAGTTTTTTAAAACCTCTGCACATTTGTGTTTCACAGGGTGCGAAAGGAGGTCTTTGCACCTTTATACAATATGCATGTCTGCTTGGGCCCAGGGTCTTTTGCCTCACCATCCCCACTACTGACTCCCTGTTGCTACTCAGCTTCCAAAAAAAAAAAAGGGGGTCACCGGATTCATTGAAAAAAATCTGGAAACCATAACATAAGAGGTCGTAGCTTCTTCACTGGTGGAGCTAGTGGAATGCCCTCCCTTGCTGAAATGCGAGAGACTGTATCCATATTGGCATTCCACCAGTTTCCAAATATAAAATATAAAAATAACAATTTTACAACCATTTCTAGGATGGTTGGAGAAAACTCAGCATTCTTTCATGAGCCTCACAAGGTTGTCAAGACTGGACTTGAGTTGGCAGGCTCTGATGGAAGAGGAGGAGGAAGAAGAAGAAACAGGGCTGAATTGTGAGAGTCTATGGTAGGAGGGTGGCACTGTGGGTTAAACCACAGAGCCTAGGACTTGCCGATCAGAAGGTCAGCGGTTCGAATCCCCATGACGGGGTGAGCTCCTGCTGCTCGGTCCCTGCTCCTGCCAACCTAGCAGTCCAAAAGCACGTCAAAGTGCAAGTAGATAAATAGGTACTGCTCCGGCGGGAAGGTAAACGTAAATGAAGGTACCTTCCAGTGGGAAGGTAAATGAAGGTAAGCATTTCCGTGTGCTGCTCTGGTTCTCCAGAAGCGGCTTAGTCATGCTGGCCACATGACCCGGAAGCTGTACGCCAGCTCCCTTGGCCAATAAAGGGAGATGAGCACCACAACCCCAGAGTCGGCCATGACTGGACCTAATGGTCAGGGGTCCCTTTACCTTTACCTAAGGTAGGAGGACAGGGTTAATGCCCTTTCCACCTTGACTCCAGTCACTTCAGGGATGCTGGCTCTCCCCTCTGACCTTCCTGAGGAGTGGGAAGCCTCAGCGAAGGATCAGGAGGGCTCTGATCAGCCAATGAGGGAGACCAAATAGGAGGCAGCAGTGAGTGATCAGGAGTCTGTGCAGGAGAGTGCGGTCTTGTCACCTAGAACTGCCACTGCAGCTGAGAGCAGGCCCGCCCACCCTAACAGAGTGCACAATTAGAACCCTGATATTTCCATAAGGCACGAGAAACTCACGAGTGAGTGTGCTATGCCTTGTCTGTAAAAGCTTGGCAGGAGGGGAGAGAGATTTGTTGGGACATCTTCGACGCTTCTGCCCAGTTCTGAACTTCTTGCCCAGGTCCTGAACTCCTGGATCATGACTCTCGAGCATTGTATCTGCTGCTGAGCCTGTACCATTACTTGCCTAAATAAACATCTATTTCTTACTTCCAGTTAAGAGCTTCTGTCTGCATGCGCTGGGCTCATTCACCAGAAACTAGTCTGAAGCGAGCTTTTTGTTTTATTCAAAGCTAACTGCGGCCCTCAAAGTTTATCATTATGACTTGTTAAAATGTAATTGTTTAGAAAACAGAACACTCTCCTAGCCCCAGGAATTCAACAGCATACTGCTTCTGATCATGGAGGGGGAGCCTAGGCATTGTGGCTAGTAGCCACTGATCGTCTTTTCCCCCTGTGAATATTTCTAATCCTCTTTTTAAAGCCATCCAAGTTAAGACCATCACTGCCTCTTGTGGAAGCTCAGAGAACAACAACACGTTCCCCTTGCTCAGAGAAAGGTCTGTAAAGGGGAAGGAAACTGGATCAGACTCCTTGCCCATTTAATCTCGTGTTCTCTGCTCTGAATGGGCACCAGCTCTCTGGGTTCTCAGTCAGAGAATGCCTTTCCTGCTATCTGATTCTTTTATCTGGAAAGGCCTGGGGATTGGAGCTGGGACCTTCTGCCAGAAGCAGATTTAGGGGAGAACTGTTGAGAATTTCCATTCCACCTTAAGGAGCAGACGTGTGGAACTATTGCGTGTCACATGTCTGTTTACATTCCAACACAGCTTGCTGGGAACTTCCGTTGTGTGTATTGCTTTTGTTTTTCCAGGTCTCTCTGAGAAGACGAAGAAAGAGTCAACATGTTTCTTTGTCCTGATTTATGATTAATAAATCTGTAGTTGTGGCATGCTTTCACAAGCCTCACGCCTATTCTGTGTGCACAGTTTGATCTGCTGATAGTGTGCCCTGGCTTTGAAGCCCGGGTCGCTGATTTATGTCGGAGCAGAGGCCGATGGGTTTTCGCAGCAGGACGGCTGGAAGGTGACGGCCCAGCTGGGGCTAGCCAGCTGGCCTTGCAACCCTCTGCATGTCGACAAGAACAACTGGTTTGGTCGCACCAGGCACAGAGCTTTGAGGGTGCTGCAACAATGATTCAGAATGGAAGGCGAGAGGGTGAGGGGGCTGAATTTCAGCATTGCACATTGCATAGGTAAAATTTGAGGCCTCAAGGTCTGCCACTGCTTCTACATTCCAGTCGGAGGAGTTAGCACTATCCCAAAACGGATGTTGCATGGGATGGAAGGTTATGTCAGTTTCAGCTCTTTGTTTCTCATTTTTCCAATCTTAAATTCAGTTCCCCACATTTTCTGCAGCAATTTGCATTTTTTTAAAAAAAAAAATACACTACAGACAATATTGAGTTTTTATGCACATTTCCTCCTAAAGTTGTTTGATTGGAGAACCACATTGCAAAATCTGGATACATGTGAATCTCACAGAATGGCTGTGTTTAGGTTCTCATATTGTTTTGGAAAATGTGGATTTGATTGATATGGCTTTAGATGCAAACTGAACTGCATTTCTCCCCCATTCCTAGATTTGACCATAAACAGATGCAAACCAGAGAGGGGACACGTTTCTGGGGATACTTACTTACGCAACTCAGATTCAAAATAGTTAACAGACTCCTTAGTAAATTCAATACTCTCTGTTGGATCATCTGGATTTCTAAAAAGGAAACATCGAAAAATGGATGAAAAGAGCAGACATGACCAGCCTGGAACAACATGACCTCATACTTACATCACAATGCTGCCCTTCTTCATTAGATCGTCGAATGAGAGTTGCATGGGTTTTAAACCATAGACTTGAATCCATTCATCTGTGGACTTCAACCCAGCAAACAGCATTGCTGTATCCTTAAGTCTCTGTTGACCAAATGAGAAAAAGGGGAGTCAAGAAAAAGCCATTCGGGGACGAAAAGCATGCACTTCAAGCTGTCAGAGCACATGGCTGTAGCAAGGATTTACTTTAGCACCACTTGTTTGTTACCCAGGGGAGGGAACACCTTTTAAATAAAAACAAGGAAGCAAGAGAATGACAGCAAGCCCAACAGATCCAGCAGGAACCCAGTTTATTAAAGTCATTGCAACAGGACAACCTTGCTAACCAGTTGTTCAGCAGAAATATTTGTTAGAAAAGACTGCCACGAGACACATAAGAACAAAACTTATATAGCAGTTTCAAACACAGCATGCAAAGTCATAAAGATAGGGGGGAAAACTGAAGGGCAAACTACAGAGATTTCAAGTACTAGAAAACAAGACTGAAGCTGGAAAAGTACATTGAGGGAGGGGGGAAAACATCAGCTCTTTAGGACCTCAGAGATTTCTATTGTCTGGTGGCTAAACAACTCACTAATCAATAATAGCTCAGACTTCACTTACTGCCTAAAAACACTGACAGGTGGGAGCAGTCAGTCCAACTCCCACCCTTCCTCTCAAAGGAGCCCAAGGCAGGAAACAGTAAGTGATTAAAAAATAAAACAGTACAGAAGGGGAAAGATCTCAATTTAAAAGAGTTGTTGGAAGAGCAAGGTCTTTAGTAGACACCAAAAAGACAACAGAGATGGGACCTTTCTCATATTCCAGAAGAGGGTGTTTCAGTGGGTTGGTGCCACCACATGAAAGGCCCTGTTCCTATGTTGTTTGCAACAGACCTCTACTGTTTCTACGATCCATGAAGAGCAGGAGATGAATGCACATAATACAGATATTGACTTACCAATAAATCCTGTGTCTGGTTGATATTGGTAACCAATAGTCCTTCATCAGAGACTGCTGCAGAAACATTCCACAAAGATGGGCTTCCTTTTTGTAAAGTGGCATTTGATACTGAATGTACACTGGAGGGGGAAAGGGTTCTTATCATGCAGCATTGCAAAGCTAATCATTTCCTTTCTTTTCAGACATTATACACATCCGGCAATGTAATTGCTAAAGCATTCCACTTTAAGTCAAAACCAAAGTGGGGAAGCTGGGGAAAATTTTCATGGGAGTTCTTGCCTAGCCTCTTCGATGTATATTTAGTAAGCCTAAAGAGCTGTGCACAAGTATATGTGTTTCTGAGGGATAGGCACCCCAAAAAACTTAATTATAACTTTGATTTCAGATTTTACTAGTACTGCATTGATTCAAAATAGACAATATGACTTGCCTTCATTCATTATGCTGCTAATCAATTTTATGAAATAATGTGTTTCTAAAAGTAGAAATTTTCCATGGAGAAATATAGCAGTAGCAAGTTTTCCATGATATGCATCTGCTTTAATAGAGATGTAACCAGATAAGAGTGTGCTCACCATGCGAGGACACAGTTTCTCGTATATAACAGGCAAGTAGCAAGTGGGTATTTTAACATGGTTTCTTTCTAGGAAAACTTGGGAAAGACTGTACTTTAAAAAGTGTGTGTGTTTATTTAATTTGTTTAATATGTAAGCCACCCGCCATTTTAAAAATACCATGGCAGTGTATTTAAACAGATATAACATTCAAAATATGAAGCTAAAAACAGTGAATACAGTGGTACCTTGGTTTAAGAACAGCTAAGTTTATGAACAACTTGGATTAAGAATGCTGCAAACACGGAAGTAGGTGTTTTGGTTTGTGAACTTTGCCTTGGAAGCAGAACATGTTTTGCTTCCTGTTGAGTGTGTTCCATTTGTAAATTGAGACCCCTGCTGCTATGGGAAAGCATGCCTTAGTTTAAGAAAGCTTTGGTTTAAGAACGGACTTCTGGAACGGATTAAGTTCATAAACCAAGGTACCACTGTATGCATTAAATTCATATTTAATATCAACAGGAACAATATCCAACATTGCTACCCTGAAAAGGCCTGGTTGCACCTAGACTATTTCTGGTGGAACAGACAAAAAAGCAGTCTATGAGACTGAGCAACAAATCAGGAAATATCTGGTTCAAATATCACCTCTCTGCTGCAAATTCACCAGGGAACCCTTTACGCAAGCTGCTATCTCTTAGTCCCATAACTGCCATGGGCAACCCCAGCCGTGCTGCTGGCACAGAATTGGTGCCAGTATCAGCTGAAATTGTTGGAGGAACTGGACATGGAGAAATTTTACTTCCTTCATGAGCACAAATCATCCCGTGCATGAGATAAGCCAACAGGTGCAAGGTCAGCCAAGCTGGTTGCTGTGTCAACAGCTCATTGCTGTCTATATCAGTGTGTATGGCATGTCAGATCATTAGTCAGTCTGTGAGTCTGAGCTATGGATGGACTCCCCGCCTTCTACCCACTGTGCAAAGTTCTTATACCAAACCCTTGGTGATGAAACGAGATAGCTGCAAAAGCAGCGGCTGAACCTAGGTGGAACCTTCCAACTGTAAAGAGTCTGCCCACCATATGGTCCATATCCAACTTGTTCAAAAGCTACAAGTTGCTTACCCAACTTTTTCCAAGAACTGTGCATCGTCCAGGAAACTTGCCACCTTCTTCTGCTTCGACATTTTGTCGGCTCTTTTAAAAAACATTTTTAAAGAAGAAAGAAAGAAAAGAGCGCCTTTGAAAAAAGTAGCACACTATTTTATTTTATTTGTTTTGCCCTACAGTCCTTCTAGTATCCAGGGTTGGAGGAAGCGGGGTGCAGTAGAAGCGGGCTGCCCCAGTGTCACCACTGAGGGGGGTGACAAAATGCTGAGCGGTAGTCACCGCAGGGCCTGCAGCACACCCGAGCCACGAGTCTCTCCTGGGAGAGATGTGGTGGCTTGCGAGCGTGCAGGCTCCACACTGCCCAAACGGTCTGCCCGCTGCCTCCCCCCCCCCCAGCTGTAGGGTGGCTGAGTGGGAGGAGGCAGGCAGATTCCCGAGGCCCCGCGGTGCGCCCCACCCCTATGGGCGCGCCACCCATAGGACGCTCAAGTGGCTTCCTCTGCCGCTGCCAGTATCACAAAGCAGCAGCAATTGCATTCTAATATTGTAATATGTAGGAGTCTGCCCACTATATCCAACTTGTTCAAAAGCTACAAGTAGCTTACCCCACTTTTTCCAAGAACTGTGAATTGTCCAGGAAACTTGCCACCTTCTTCTGCTTCGACATATTGTTGGATCTTTTGTTTTTTAGAAAGAAAGAAAGAAAGAAAGAAAGAAAGAAAGAAAGTGCCTTTGAAACAATTCACACACTTTTATTTTATTTGTTTTGTTTTGTTTTGTTTTGTTTTGTCCTACAGTCCTTTTAGTATCACAAAGCAGCAGCAATTTCATTTTAATATTGTAATATGTAGGGTCTGCACACCATATCCAACTTGTTCAAAAGCTACAAGTCGCTTACCCCACTTTTTCCAAGAACTGTGCATTGTCCAAGAAACTTGCCACTTTCTTCTCCTTCGACATACTGTTGGATCTTCTATTTTGTATTATTTTAAAGAAAAGAAAGGGAATAGACGCTTTGAAACAATTAGCGCACCATATTATTATCATTTGACCTACAGTCCTTTGAGTATCACAAAGCAGCAGCAATTGCATTTTAATATTGTAACATGTAGGGGACAGAACCTAATGCCCCTTATTTTTAGCTTTTTCATTGCAAGATTGGCATGCATTTTTGTTCCATGGCTGAACTGGCCCTTCCCTTTTGCCATAACACTGAGAAATAAGTGCCTATTTAAAAATTATTTAAATATAGTCTCTGCTGCTACAGGCCTCCTAGCGAGTTCTGTGCTATTTGAAAGCGTACATCTCGGGGGGGGGGGGGGAATTGAGCCGCCATCTTCCTTTCAGCCACTTGGTAGGATCCTAAGATTGCCTTTGCCTGTCCCTGAAGACCTCAATTTATACCATCCATGAAAGAATGGCTGATAAGATTGCCAAAACAAACAAGCCAACTCAGTGTTACGTGAGGGAACAATTGATATAGACAGTTTTCATTAACACGTCAGCTGGACACCACTTATAGCTGAGTGGAATGAATGGGTCTGTTTTATTACTGAACAGAAACTTGATTTTGTAGGGCAGGAATGAGGAGCCTGGGGGCCAAATGTGGCTCATCATGCCCCTCTCTGTTTAGCCTTTGGGAATCACTCTAGTCTAGCCACATTCCCTGACATAGAATCATAGAATGTTAGAGTTGGAAGGGACACAAAGGTCATTAGTCCAACCCCCTGAAATGCAGGAATATTTCGCCCAATGTGGGGATCAAACCCACAACCCTGAGATTAAACGAGTCTCATGGGCTATAAGCTCAGCACCCCCAGGATGCACCACTCCTTCAACGGAAAGGGCCTCCATCTTGTCTGGATGGAGGAGGGAGGGAGGGAGAAAGGGAGGTGCTACTGTGCAAAGATAAAAATTACATTTGTTGCTCTGCCCACTTTTGCCTTTGGCGTCACCCACAACTGGCATGTGGCCCTCAGAAGGTTGCCCAGAAGGCAATGTGGCCCTCAGACTGTAAAGCAGGCTTCCTCAACCTCGGCCCTCCAGATGTTTTTGACCTACAATTCCCATGATCCTTAGCTAGCAGGACCAGTGGTCAGGGATGATGGGAATTGTAGTCTCAAAACATCTGGAGGGCCGAGGTTGAGGAAGCCTGCTGTAAAGGTTCTCCCACCCCTGTTGTAATCGAAATCAAGGTAAAAAGCTTAAAAATTGGCTGTACAGAAGATGACCTGCTTTAGGAAGGTGTGGTGCAGTGGTTGGACAGTTGGTCTAGGACAGGGGTCTGCAACCCGCGGCTCCGGAGCCGCATGTGGCTCTTTTACACCTTTGCCGCGGCTCCGGGACGGATACTAGCGAGGGGAGGAGGCGCATTGTGCGCCCCGACACTCCCCACTGTGGCGGGCGCTGTACTGGCTGTGACGTCGCATGGGGGCGGTGCGTGCGTTAGTCACGCACCGTCCTGACATCACCTTCCCGCCCACTGTCAGATCGGAGGGCAGCGGCGTGCATGCTTTAAATGTTGCAATGGTTTTGCGGCTCCCAGGTTTTTTTCCCCTTCGGAAACGGGTCCAAGTGGCTCTTTTTGTCTTAAAGGTTACAGACCCCTGGTCTAGGACCTACAGTAGGTTAGAGCATGGTGCTGATAATACCAAGGTTGCAGGTTCGATCCCCTTAGGGATAGCTGCATATTCCTTCATTGCAAGGGGTTGGACTAGATGATCCTCAGAGTCCCTTTCAACTCTACAATTCTACAATTCTATTATTCTACAGTAGGGCAACCTACTGTGGAACCAGGTAAAGCTTATAACTGAAAACAAAATGAGAGATGAATATCTAAATGACATAAAACGGAATAATATAAAATGGTATATTATAAAACACCAACATGTTTCTTCTTCAGTGGTCTCTGGCACCCGTCTGTACGGTATGTAGCAAACACACACACAAATGTAAATTCAGAATACTTCCATACCGATGAAAAAGACAGGTAAAATATATACATAAACCCACATAATTTAGGGCTTGTTGATATAGTTCTGATCAGACCATGGAATAATCTGAAATGCAGCACTTGTAGATGTGGGTTGAAATGCATTAGTCGCTTTATAACACACAATCTTTCACTTTGTTTCATTTGGACACCCAGAGTCCATTTTGTCCAGAACCAGCAAAGATGACACAGAATAATGAAGCTATTCCAGTTCTCCAGAACTCCTAATCAGGCCGGATTTTGACACTGATTTTTTTTTTTTTTTTACTGAGAAGTGACAACTAAAAATTCATAGTCCTAAGTATTTGTCACACTTGACAGGAAGAAACTTAAAAAGCAAGTCATTTTAAGGTGTAAGCTGGTATCCCACTCCAAACAAGGTTTTTAAAATAGAAAACGTACCTGAGGTACATTTTTTACAGTTGTATTCTCAAAAATTAGTAAACATACAATAAAATGGAAAATGTGTATACTGCTTTTTTGCTTTTTTTTACCTCAGTGGGAAATTATCAAAGCCATTCACATCATAAAACCTACAACAACATGCAGTAAATTTTAAAAAGTTCTACAACGCAGCAAAGTTTTTTTATGACAGATTTTCGGTGCATATGATGGATATATACTGTTTGAAAATCACACTAGATAAAACAAATCAGTTACAAGTATTCCCTCCATACCAGAGACACGGTGGATATCAGGTGTGAGACAAGAGCCCTGGGTAGTGACTGGAGAAAAGCACTTTGCACATACTCAGGGGCACAGTTTACTACTACCCTACACAGGATGCTCTTCCAAAGCAGTTTTAGAGCTAAGCACATCATTCCACAGGTCGGGACACCATTGCTTCTTCACATCCCAACCACCCTTCCTCTGCTAGGACCACTACAAAGCGGTGCAGCCTTGGGACTCACCAGCAATCGCTCACTCTGCCTTGCATCTTCCCCTGTGCATGTAAAGCCAGGCTTTATCCAGGAGCAAACACTCCCCTGGCCTGAGCTGTGTTTTCGTTGCCAACGGCAACAGAAGCAACCATTCTCCATAGCGGATGGAGGGAGATGAAAGATCTGCAGGGGAAACACGGCTGGGTCTCAAGAGGCGCACAGCAAATTAATCTGCCTGAAAAGCAATTAATATTTCTGTCTGGGGGCTTTTTATATACTCGGCCAAAAGAGAAAACCATGTGTAGGACCAAAAAAAGAAAGCATTTTGACACCTTTTAGAAGGAATGAGGAAGCTTTGGCCTTCCAGATGTGGCAGAACTACAACTCCCAGCAGCCTCAGCAAGAACGACCAATGGGCGAGGGGTGATGGGAGTTGCAGTCCGGCAACAACTGGAGGGCCAAAGGTTCCCCACAGCCGCATTAAAACAAGGGAGGCAAACCCTTGTCGCTGTGCCATATCTCAGTGACGTGTGGGGCCACAAATGCGGCTTTTCGTCTTTGTACAAAAGCCTAGTTTTTACACATAAGACTCCCCTCTCCATCCTTCATCCAGACAAGCAAGAAGCCTGATCAGAGTTCAAGGATGCATTTCCGCTGGGCAAAAAACTTTCAGAGAAAGCGTGAAGGAGAATCAGTGAAGTGTGTGTGCAGCTTCAGGGGGTGCGACACCTGAGATTTCGGAGGGCCAGATTGAGAGGATTGGAGCGCCACATTCGGCCCCTGGGCACGAGGTCCCCAATTCTTGCCTTTGTAACTGACAGGATTTTTTGCATCAGAATTTTGGCAGATGCGCCGAGAACAGTAAATACATCTTCCCAGTGTGGTTCAGTGTGTCAGATTAAGACCCGAGAGAACAGGGTTCAAATCCCCACTCAGACATGAAGATCACTGGTTGACCTCAGGCCAGTCACTCAGTCTCAGCCTAACCTCCCTCACAGGGTTGTTGTGAGGATAAAATGGGGAGAACTATGTACGCCACCTTAAGCTCCTGGGAGGAAATGCAATAAATACAAATAAAAAATGGGTTTTCTGTTGTCCCATTTGAAGTTAAAAGGGTACCACACCCCTCCCCAAGCATGCTGCTATACTTCCCTCTTGTGCAATGTGGGTTCCTATCCTGTCAGCATGAGGGCACTGAGTTTCCTCTCTGAAGGAGGGACAATTTAACAAAAAAGGACATTTCCAAGTGAATCCTTACAGCGCAAACAGATCATAAAAACCAGATTTCTCTCTCTGTTTGGCAAGTCATTCCTCATTGTTGCCTTCACATCCACCCAGTCATGGCTAGGTATTTCAAATGTATTTGCTGTTTTTTAACTGTTTTTAAATCATTCGGGGCACTTCCAACTCTTATCTTTATCTTGAGATGATTCTTTAAAAGGAGATAAATAAATAAAACCCCTGGCTATTCCGCTGCTTCAAGTCCTGGAAGACCTGCTAGCCTGGAAGACCCTTACTGGCCTTTTCCCACCTGGCCTGACCAGCTCCAGTTACAAAAGTTGAGGCTGCTGAACAGATTTTTTGGGCTGGGGTATGTTGCCGTTGCGGTTATTGATATTACTTCGTGTCTTTCTTTTTAGATTTATTCTTCAGTGTGGTTGTGTACTTTTCCAATAAGTTTTCTTTAGTTTATGACTATTGTTATGCTTCTAATTGTGGTTTTTTTTCATGTTGTATGGCGCCTCAAGGATGGTTTTAACCAGTGCTTTTTCCCGGGTGGGTGGGTGGGTGTGGACGGGACACAGGGGTACGCATACCCCTAAACATTTCCGAAATAAAATAAATAAATAAATAATTCCTTCCAATAGCACCTTAGAGACCAACTAACTTAGATGGTCTCTAAGGTGCTACTAGAAGGAATTTATTTTATTTTATTTGTTTTGTTTTGTTTTGACTACAGCAGACCAACACGGACTTGTAACCTAAACATTTTGTGAATCTAAGCTTGGCCTCATTGAGGGGCAGTATTTCAATATGAGTAGGAAAATGAGAGTATCCCTAAACATTTTTTTAGAGGAAAAAAGGCACTGGTTTTAACTATGGAAAGGTGGCATGCAAATAAAATGAGGTTTATGACAATGACATGCTGACAGTGTCTTCAGCACCAGGCAAAGTTTTAACCATCCCAGCCTTTCAAATAATTCAAAGTTTCCCAGTTCTGTTTCTAAATCTGTTTTAACTTTTGTGGTGAGTTTTTGTTTTCTTGTCATATTTATGCCCCATTTGCCTCTTTATTTGGTATTTAAATTGCATTTACTTTTTTTAAGGCTGTCAGAACACTTTCTGTTAGGAGGTTGTACACACACACACACACACACACACACACACACAGTAAATAAATTGTATGCAAGAAAATGTTTTAGTTATATACCACCCTAAAAAAATAATATCAAAATCAAACCAGATTTCTTTAAGTAGACAATTTATTTTGATAAACTTGCTCAATAACAAAAATACAAGTGAAGAAAATTATGTTCATTTTATACAGTTTGTATTAACAATTTGTTTGGAAATTAAATTGGGGCAGGGGAGAGAAATGTCCTAACCAATTAGAAAATAATCCTTAACAGTTGGAAGAGGATATGGTTGCAGTGGAAAGGGGGAAGACCACCACGAAGACCTTGAGCCCAAACATTTATGGTCTCTTGGAGTAGCAGAAACAGAACTAGCAACTCCAAGGCAGGAAAACCTATCTGAAAATGCCATTTCCTTCATCTTTTTGCTTTGGGATCCTTCACACAACTTTATATTTTTTAAACAGCAGGTCAAAACAGCAACTGAAATAACACACTGGAGAAAGGAGAGGGGTGTGAAAGTGAGCTTTAGCAGTGCACCGAAGTCATTAAAACAGAAATGTTTGGAAACAGATTCCTAAACTCTACAATTTTATCTCAGGCGTGACTCCAGTGATTGTAAATTTGAAAAATAAGGCCTAAGCTTCAAGATTCCCGTCTCCCCACCCTCAACCCTGAAAAGAAGGCTTTAAAATGGCAACAGGATAGTAAAAAAATGATATTGTAACAGACACAAATTCAGGTTTGGTTTTTTTCAGAGAAATCTCACAAAAGACTCCAAAAAGCAGGGTGGGGAGGAAGAGCTGCTGCTGTGAAGTTTATTGGTCACAATAGAAATAGAGACCGTACAAGTTTACCATAAGCCTGTCAAAATGACTGTAGAATGAACTTCATTTCACCAGAACCAGGATGTTAAAAGCATTCGGAGTTGTGTGAATAATTTGGGGCATTCACGAAATAGCAGCAAAGTAAGTGTGACTGGACTAATACAAATAATTTGCTCTTAAAAGTAAAGCTGGCAGAATTTCAAAAGGCTTTATGTGAATGCTCACCCCACCAATGCAGATTTTGCTGGGCAAAAAAGTTGCACACGCTGAACTGAATTAAGGGACAGGCATTTATTAAAAAGCCTGTAACAGGTTTTCCCAAAAAAGAGGAAAAAAAATCCTTGTGCAAATACAAGCGACAAATATTTCTTTGCAGATTTTAGCATGATGCTCTTAGGTATGGGGAAGGGGGGGACACAATGCTGACCCCCCCCCAAAAGTAACAGACAGAAGGTTGACAAACAATTGCACCATAAAACTGTGTTTTATATACAGTTTACAAGATATGGTCTTTCTGCTATAAATTAATACTGCATTCCATGTGATCTTATTAAAAGCAACTGCTGATCCTCTCTGTTCTTCCCATTCCTTTTTATAGTTAGAAGGATTATCCACTCCCCCCCAAATGACTGAAATTAAAGTTATACAAACATAACACACCAATTATTTATGCATTCTGCAGCTATATTGGTTTTCACAAATACCTGTAGACAGGCCAGGCTCCCGTTCACAATATACAGACTGGACACATTCCATGATCACAGAAGGTCATCGGCAGATGCTCTTCTTCTGAACTTTCCCAACCTGTTTTTAGTTAAGTCAGGAAAATGTCACCATGTGGTGATCTACAGGAAGGGGACAGTGGGGTGAGGTTGTTCTGGCAAATATGCCCCCCATGTAAGCAGGCGTGGGGGTCTTGACTAGGGCTGGGTGATGTATCGATACACCGTCCAAAATCAGTTTGAAGTCCGCATCGTGGGAACAGTTTCATAATGTTTGACATGGTGATATATCGTGAATCACGATGTCTGGCTATGTAAAAAGAAAATCACAATGTGGAAAAAACCGTGAAGCCGGTCATCACTGTTCTCATGATTCCTGCCACCCCTGTTGCTCTGCTCTATAAAAACAGTTGTAACAGTATGTTAATGTTAAGAAAAACCGTATCAGTTTTAGACCCCTAGATGCCAGGACATTATGCCATTTGCCTCTACATAGTTCCATCCTTATTTCAGACATATATGTCATATATATTGGTATATCATGATGTTTAGCTTGTGATATATCGTGATGCTGAAAAGCAGACATCGCTCTGCCCTAGTCTTGACGCTGCCCCTACTGTGGCTCCCATGATGCATTTTGGATACATGTGACCCATCTCCCAATACCCTTTGACCTCCTGTTTAGCAGAGAACACAAACCCATCAGCTTAGGTTGCTAATCTATGTTCTCAGGACAGTTTCAAACTCAAGTCAAGGCCAGCTTATATTAAACCCTTCCATTTAATAGTTTAAGGATGGGAGCTTGGGAGCATTCCTGGCTCTTCCAAACTAATAATAATAAATGGCCATTTAGTGAGCTTCCACGGTCTTCCTATTTCTCGACCAAAGCTCTTAAGTAATGCCATTTGCACATGTTTCCAAACAGGGGAGTTGAGGTTTAATTCAGCTTCCTAATGTAGAAAGGCAGGCTGCGCTTTGGATAGGGGTGCAAGATCCCACGTCTGAAAGATGGTGCCAACGGAGACAGGTGATGGCGGTATGAATTTGGGGTGGGGTGGGGAGAGACACACTAAGAAAGAATAGAGGAAGGGCAGGGAGGGCTGCAAGAGATTTGGCCCAGCCATAACTCACTCTGCCTTCTTAGGCAGAGATTGTGTGAGGTTAAATGCTCCGATTCCTGTTCTCAAAATAGCACCTGCAGCAAGCAAGGTATGAAAAGAGGACCATACAGTTATTCAGATAATTGTAGGGTACTTATGTCGTTAACTATGGCAAGACATAGAATGTAGTAAAAGGGCAAGAGTTTGCAGTTTTTGTTTTTTAAAAAAAAGCTCTGCTCCTGTGTCTTACAACAGCAGTCTGATATGTAGAAATTAAACAGGTGAAGGTTTCTAATATAATTTCATTTCCATGGCAGGAAAAGAGTTCATTAGCTGTATTTCTGGATGTCATGCTGCACAAGAGAAGAGGCAGTAACAATACTGGCAGCCCTAGAAAGAACCCAGGCAGGTAACAAACCAGGGATAAAACTTCTAGGAAAATGTACCGCCTCCATATTATTCCATGGAACTATTTACAATAATCCTTTGGAGGAGGTGTCATTTTTACCCTTAATAGAACAGGTTATAGCTGCCAGGCCTTTTATCAGCTTGCTCATCCCTTTTAAGTACCAATTCATAAATTCGAACAAATTAACCCCATTAAACTATGAAGATCTCCTCAGAGCTCTGCATGGGATTTCCCGTTGCAATCCAGTTTTCTCCAACATTGCGCATTTTTAAAAGAACTTTCACATCCAAAACCAGCAAGCCCACATAGGGTGTCATTTTAGGAAAGCTGACAGAATTCAACAGCGCTCACAATTTCTTTTGTGAAGAACCCCTCAGCCAGCTGAGTGAACAGGTTAATTTTTTAAAAAACAAATACTCCAGGCAAAATATATATATATCACAATCATCCATAAACTCTACAGAGAAAGGAATCTGATACATCCAAGTCAGCCTCGGGCAACAATACTGTGATGGGAAAGTTTGCATGATTGGAAGGTTGTTCTGAAAATCATACATGATTTTTCTACCAGGGAACCCTCGTTTTTACGGCAAATTTTGCATACACAAATGAAAATTGGTCAGAATCTTTCTCTTGAAGCCGGAAGCAATTCCCCTCAGTGCCTGATTGTAGCATGAGATGCTGCCGGCCTGGTAACCTTACATTTTCCCACTGCTACGACGATTCCTCGTGGTCCCTTCCAACGCTACAATTCTATGACATCTTTGCTGTGATCAGTTGTACCCGTGAATAGAGAGCAACACCATGTGTTATGCTGAAAGTACAACAGCAGTGACTCCCTAAGCAACTTGCATTAAAGGACCAGCAGCTAGCATTCAACACTATTTCAAAGGTTATCAACTTTTTCCAAAATAGTGTGGGGTTTCGTTGTTCCTGTTGTTCCAGCTCCACTCAGTCACCGTCACTTAAGTGAGCAGGGCTGGCGCCTAGGGTCAAAACCGTCAGGCATCTGCCAAAGCCCACATCCTGGCAAAGGGCCTACTGATGAATGGAGCTACGAAAACCAGACCGCTGCTGCTGGGCCTGATGACATGAATTAAGGAGCTTTAATGGGGGCTGCTCGTGCCCAGAATGGCAGGCAGGTGCTGCTGCTCAGAAACACTCTGGCGAAAGACTGTTGCTCAGATCTTCCGTTTTGGCTATTGCAGGTCGTTCTTCACTTCTGGTGGGCCCATAAGTGCTCTCTTGGCCAGAGAGCAGAGAAAACAGGAGCTGCCTCCATTACTGAAGGAGGTTGGCAATGGCAGACTCTCTTAAGAGACCAGGATGAGAGGGGAGACGATGCTACGAACTGCAAAGGCCCCTTGGATGTGAGCAAGCCCTACGTTAAGTGTCAGAACAAGGCAAAGCATGGGGACGTCAAGTGACCATATGGCTCTCTTTTTTGTACCAGTGGATTTAACTTAATACTCGCACATGAAAGAAGAGTATGTCCCTCTTTGTAGCTTTTACTGCCCAACCACCCGGTTCATGTTATGTAGCCAACTTGAGATGATATCTCACGGTAGATTTTCTGTGGAGAAATTCATATTAATAAGTGAAGCCAGAAAGAGCTGGCAAGGTGGAAAGAGGGTTGTGGAGGGGAGGAGAGAAACAGAGAGAGATGGAGAGAAATCAACCCACTTCAGTTGCCCATAATTTAAGTAGTGTAACTTCCCAATACTGGGATCGGACCTTTGCAAAGTATGACACAAACTTGCCTTCTATCCCCAATATACAAATAAATTACCATATAAAGAACAAAACCCTCTTAGCTTAACTTAGAATTGCACCTAGAAAGGTATGGAGTTGTTTGTACCTATAACAAAACATCTGTTAAAACCAAGGGCTGCTACAAAGAATGAGGTAAACTGAAGACTTTCCCAGCTATGCAGCCTTCAGAGAAATGGCTTTGTGTTGTTTTTTTTCTATTTCACTTTCCCCTCTCTCCTATCGAGTTCTAGTTTTACACACCACAGTGTTTTGCTAGCAAAGCGCTCAAGAGCTCTCTTCCAGAAACATGTGTCTGCGTGTATATATATATGTGTGTGTATATACACACACACACATATACACCCACAAACATATATATACATATTCTGTATACTGCATCAGCAATATATATATATATATATATTTATATAAATATAATGAAGAATTCCTAGCCACCCTGACGTCCCACGGTGTTTCTAGAGCTCACTGGGGTTGGCGAGAGAGATGGCAGGCAGACGTTTTTGTTGTAACAGATTTCCGAGAACATCTTTTGATCAATTGGCTTCAGGATGCAGTTAGTGTAATGTTGAGCTGTTGGTTGGTTGGCTTTTTTGGCGGCAAATGCTTCTTGCCTATCACAGAAGGAAGAGGCTTATCTCCTAAAGAGAGTGAGGCCAGCCCCACTTCCAACTCCCTTGGCAAACCTCTGGTCGACCAAAGTTCATAAATACTTTTGAGATTTTTCAAAATTGTCAAGTTATCTAAAATGGGTCCAGTACAGTGATGTGGGGGGTGGGGGTGGGGGGGCAATAACGCTGCTCAGTGTAGAAAAGAATTATTCCACTACACTAGTTTCTATCACAGTGCACACCTGACCGCATCCAGACGCTCAGGAGATGAGTCAAGGCTGTCTGTCTGTATTTGGTTGTGGGAAAGGCTCTCCGTTCAAAAACAAAAATAAATCCAAAGTGCATAGTGAGAACGCATCAGAGACCTCCTCGTTCCGGTAAGACTGCAGCAGCCCAACGCAGGCATCCTTCCGAGATAGCGACAGGCGTCCTACTCTCCTTCATGACCGAGTGAAGCAGTATCTAGACCTTTGTCAGCCAGGTAAACAGACTTTGCCAGCAAATAGAAGTCCCACTATTGTAAAGAAAATGGATAAAACAAACAGTACGTACGACGACCCAACCACTGTGTTGTTCGGCAGTTTATAAGGTTGGCCGCCCACTTCGTTGATATAAAATCCTATGGGAAATATTAGGGCCGCCATGCAGAATAGGATCACTGGAAGAAAATAAAAACAAAACAGGGATTAGTCCTTGGGGTGTGTGAGAGAGGGAGAGTCAAGTTGATAGCTCATAGCATTAAACAACAACCACCAGGGATTGCAGGCCTTGGAAGTTTCATCCCACTACATCTCAAAAGGACAAGAAAGAGGATTGGGATTTAGAGGGATGTGGCATTCAAACCAACAGATCCTTACATAGATGTTGCTCTTTGTTCTCTGAGTATCTCCCAAGTTGCAAGGCACTACTTGTCTGCATATATACCTTTCTGTAACTTAAGAACCTCAGATTTCCTGCATCAGTAAAGGATTAAACTAGAGAACCTCACAGGTCTCTTCCAACCCTACAATTCTCTGGCAGAGGGACTTCCTTGGGTGTCTCACCAGCTGCCATGTGGCAAACGGCTACCAAGTAGAGAGCCTTCTCAGTGGTGGCACCTCAATTACAGAACGCCTCATGGAAAGCCTCTGTTGGTACCTGTATGCCCATCAGCGCTATGTTGGCAACCTCTGTACTACCCAATCATTCCCACCACCATCATTAGAGATCAGGCAAGGAATGGCTCAAGCGAAGGCCATTGTAACAGTATAATCCAGCAATAAATACCCTCCTTAAGGCCACTTACCCAACACCGTCCTGAGTTTTAGATGCCAGCTGAAGATTTTCTTATTAAACCAAGCTCAAAAAAAAACAAAAAACAGTAAATCATGATACCTTCAGTTGCTCTCCATTTTAGATGGCTGGACTCTTAGTGTGATGTTCTGTCCCACAGTTTTATCAACAGGGGCTTTTTAAAGCATTTTCATGGATTCCTGATTTAACTGTAAGCCATCTTGGAAATGGTCAATGAAAGATGGGGTACTGATGTGTAAAAATGTGTAAGTAAGTTGAAGACAGCACGGTACACATTCAACGCAAAACACCTCAAGGGGGGCAGTATGCTAACTGGAACGAATATTTTGTGGTCTCACCCTAGGCACAAGCTAGGAGACCGATGGCTTCTCATGTCAAAGAAAGAACGCTATAGTAGCCATGGGACACCTACCTGAAACAGACAGTCTACCAATCCAGTCTTAATTCAGTTTATCAGGACTCCAGCTGAAAAACCACTAGAGGGAGCTTAAAGCTTTCTGTTAATTCGGCACCCAAATGAACACTGCTAAGAGAACAGGATAGGGGTGTGCGCTGACCAGGAGGTTTGGAAAACAGCCCACTTGGCTTCTGCTTGATTTGGCTCGGGTCAGAGGCACAGCACACTCTGGAATAAACAAGCCTTCAGCCTATTCTACTACCCTATCCCACTGCCTGTGTGGGTCCCAGATGTGAGGTAAGGAGGGGACACCTGCTCTTGGGAATTTCATGTTCCCAAGGGATCACACAGGATAAAATTCTAGGCTTGCTGACCCAGTGTAGATAACCTTCATCCTTGGCCAGGCTCTTCCTCCCAATATAGTTGCATCACTCCCCTCCCGCTGTAGAGCACAAAAGGAGCATTATGCCCATCATATGGCTTATCAGAAGTGGACATGCACCTGGTCAGACCACCTACCCATCTAGCTTGGTACAACTGTCCATTCCAAATGGCAATAGCTCACCAGGGTCTCAGGTAGAGGTTTTTCCTCATCACTTGATACCTAAACCTTTTAACTGGGGGATACGAGAGACTGAGTAGGGGACCTTCTGTATGCAAAGTAGAGAATCAGAGTTGGCTGGCTCTACCATTAAACCAGAGTGCCTCCCAGAAGTCATGACGTTTCTGGCATGGCAACCATGGGGCAATAGGGAAAAGGAGCCCCACTCTCAGCAAATAGAATTCAGAGAAAGGCCGACTCTGCACCTGAGCTCTGCACCACCATCAAGAACCCACTGACAGTACTGCCCTCTCCTCCAACATTTCTACTCCATTTCTGATGTTCCTTTAGAAGGAGGTCTCAGCAAACTCAGGCTTGCAGCAGTATATTATTTAAGAAAAAAGGGTGAGTATGAACCCCCAAAACTCCACAATGCCGCATTCCCCCTTTTATCCATTTTTCTATTTACGCTAGCTCTCAGTGATACTGTATGCAGCTGCCCAGGGCATTCTGAGCCTGTCTGTTAGATAATGTAGTGTTTTTACTTGGGGATGTTCAAAATCCTGCAGTAGATTATGCTCAGACACTTGCAGAAAATTGGTTTCTGGTATAGGTGAAACTGTTGTTGACTAGAACAAAAAGCAGGGAATAAAGCAATCCTATTAAAACATGCATGTGCACCTACTCAATTTTTCAAAACGGATCCTATCTGTTATAATTAGTCTGCGTAAAGAGATAAGCTTCCAATTACCCACCCCCAAACATGCGCAATAGTTTGGAGAAGGGTGCTTCATGGAAAGCAGTATTTCTGATCTTCCTGGGTGGGCAAATATTTGTGAAAGGAGATCAGTCCAGCTCAAATTTCCCAACCTGCACTGCTAGCCCACAGTGATTGATGGCTTGTGAATATGGGGTAAGTTCTAACTTGTGGAGTGAGAAATAGGTTTGATCAAAGACAGCTTGCATATGCTCAGTGGAGGCTGGTCCATAAGGACAAATGCCCAACCACCTCAAATAGCCTATTATTATTATTATTATTATTATTATTATTATTATTATTAATGATACCCCACCTTTTCCTTAATGGGACTCAAGTGGCTTACAGATAAAACAAGAAAAATTCCTTCCAGTAGCACCTTAAAACAAAATAAAACAAGAACTGCTAAGCAACCAGTTCAAGAGGGGGCACAGGCTGTAAACTTCCTCCTCTTCAGTTTCAGCATTGCTCCTTGTAGAACTCAGCAGGGAGAAGGACAAGGGCAAAACCAGAAGTAATTGGCTCTGCTTATCACTGGCACTGACTCCACCCACCACTGACCTCCCTGCCTTATGCCCCACCAGCTCCAACAGCCACCAGCCACCAGTGCAAGTACTGTGTAACTCAGCAGCCACTGCTATTAATCTGCATTCATACTTAACAGGTGCCACTTAAAAAAAAAAAGTTGGCAGATGAGCCTGACTTGTAGACAGTTAAAACTAAGTGAATATTGCAAACAAGGACTGCGAGTCTTTTTGGATCCTGTGTGGACAGTGAGTTTCATGTTCAGCAGCATTCAATGAAGTAGCCAATATTTGGTTTACGGGGCTTGAAGAAGGAGCTGCACTAGAGCAGGGGAAATCTGCTTCTGCTTTGGATATGAAGGAGTTTGATGAGGGAAACAGCACCATCTCTGCCTCAAGACCTTTTGATCTGAACAGCAGGGGCTTGCAGAATTCCCTTGTATACCTTCATGGGCTGCACAAAGCTGTACCTAAAGGCTGGCTGTGTGGGAGGCCTAATTAATGTATTGAATTCATTGCCACAAGATGTTGTGGTTGATCATGGGCTCAGGTGGCTCTGAAAAGGGAGTGGACAAATTCTGAACTATTGCCTGGTGGAATGCTCCTTTTCACTTTGTTCCACTCAGCCAGCCATGCCCTCCACTGTTAGCGTGCTGACCTTTGACAGAGGAACCCAAATTAGGCTTAGCAGTAGGGACGAAACTAGTATACTGCAACCTAGTTGTGTATGAGAGAAAAGAGCCTTACCCCCCACCCCCCAAACTCAGAATGTCTCCTACCTAGAACCTCCTTGGGGGGAATATAAAATCTAATAAACCCTTCCTTCTTTCAGGTCACAGAAACCAATGGCAGATGCTATAGGTTTGCCATTGGCCTTTTCTATGCTGGAGAAGGAGACAGTACATGCAGGTTTCTTGCAAACAGGGAAGCGTTTTCAGCTTCCTGCCAGGGAAGGGAGGGTCCACATGGGGATTCAAGTTACGAGGAAGGTGTTCGGAAGCATCTCAGACGCAGGGGCTCCCCTCTGCTGACTTCCCAAAAGCCAAGGTGACTCCCAGAGGTTTGGCCTGCGGCCAGATCTACTCCAGAGCCCAGAAGGCAGACTTACTTCCAGTGAATGCTATCCAGCGTGCGTATTTAGTTGCTTCTCTTCGCCAGTGGGAAGCCACTAGCAAGCCACATGTGACAGTCAGTGAAATGATTCCCATGATGATGAAAAACAAGGTGGTGACCCACTCAGGAGGCAACCGTGGAGGAATACAGGTCCTGTCACGTCCATGAATGGTTTGACACTGTCGCACAAGGCCAACTGTGAGAGCACCTGAAACGACACACACGACAAGACAAGAACCCATTAACTGGTGTGCCTTTTACTCTCTCTGCCCGTCCTCACCTGCTTCCTCAAAACAAGGAGTTAGGAGCAGCCCTGGCTTGTCACACCAAAAGTCAATCCTGTCTCCCCCTACAATGGCCACCCAGGTATTTCTGGGGGGGAATTAAGCTAACAGCCCTTCTGGCCATTGTTGCGACCTGGCAGCTGACATTGTGTGGCACATGGCCTCTGAACCAAGAGACTAGTAGCCATTTTGTAGAAAGTTTGTATCAGTGGCTCCCAACGTTTCCCCCTCCATGGACCACCTGAAAATTCCTGAGCACCTCAGTGGGCCACCTGAGGATTTTTCTGTCCTTTGTAGCAACTGTACTGTGCTGTGCTAGATGCTGTATGATTTTCAATCTCACTTTATTGCTTCATTTGCATTTTACTGTATTGCAATTTGAATTCCACAGAATGCAGCGAATACAATGTAATAAATAAAAAGAATAAAAAATACAGGTAAAAATCACTATGAACATTTAATGTGATGGTTGTGCCATTTCCCATCCTCAACCAACAATCCAGAGGCATGCCGCGGACCACTTGAATAAAGCTTGCAGATAGCAAGAGTGACCCAAGACAGAGAAAAAAGAGAATCAGTGCGTCTAGACAGCATGGTTAGCCCAGGAAACTGATGCATTTCAAAGCAGAGGACGTTTTCTTCACAGCTCCAACTTGCTGCCCACTCACCTTCAGGCATGAAGTTAAAAGGTTTAACACTGAAGGGGAGAAAAAAAAGCCTTGTGATCTGTACGGTTTAATGACTCCTCCCTTAAGACTAACTATAACACAATTGGATTAAAAGCACTTGCAGGCAGAGTCATTGTCTGTTTGTGGGAAATGCACACAGGCAAACACAATAGTCACTGTTCAGATGTCACAGTTGCAATGTTAAGGAATTCTCTTGAGAATGGGCTCCGCCAAGTCTGTAACAGAGGCCACCAAATTGCAAATGCATCAACACGGACAATCCTCACGCTCATCTGCTTGTTCACCACAGGGCAGATGTTGCCTCCCTGCAACCAAAGCTAGCAGTTTGGAATTGTTGTCAGATTCCACATATCCCTGCCCTTTTTTGCCACTAGCATCTCTAACAACAACTTGTCCACAGTAGGAATTTGGGTATGGCTGGCTATAAATTGCAATGCAAGGTCTATAGGCTGGCAGCCTGGGGTCTCCTGTTCTAGACACCACCTGCAGGTAGAAAATTAGTGGAATTTTCCAAGCTGCGCATTTTCCATTCAAACCAGAAGCTTTCCAAAAAGAGCTGCACAGATTGTGGGCAAATGAAAAGGTCAGTTGACACAGCTCTAAATGCCTCACATAACAGCAAAGGCTACTCTTGATTGTTACAAATGTCCTAATGATTTGCCACAAAGCACAGCCTTCATTTTCCGGAAAATTAGGCCAAAGATAATAGAATAAGGCTGTGCAATTAATACGCCTCGCTTGGCGCTGGGAGATCTATTTCAATTTAGCCGCCTTCACGAAAGGAGCAGGCCAGCATGACACGACTGCATGTGTTTACAGCACAGAATTCAGGTGCTTCTTGTTAGCTAAGAGCAAAGCATTCTCGTTTGAACAAATATCACTTAGTGTACTCCAGATGCAAATAGTTTAACAAGTTGAAACCAATTACCTTGCAAATCCTACTTAGCTCCTGTGCACCCACAAATATGAGCATTCTCACTATTTCTGGCCCTACTTTCTGCGGTGTGAGAAGTTGCAGTATCCAATAAAATGGTTTGGGGTTATTGTCTCAGATGAGGAATGAGCATGTTCTGTTGGGGCTACCAATGGCTGGTATGTCGGTTGCTGGGTATCACCAGTTGCTGGAAACTATGGCAGGGGCTGCATGGAGGGAAGTGTTCTTGTGCTTGAATCCCGCCTACTGGTTTCCCACTGGCATTTGGTTGGCCACTGTGAGAACAGGGTACTAAACCAAAAAGGCTACGGGCCTGATCCACCGGGGCTTTTCTTATGTTTTGGCCTGAGGAATGGCAATATTGCCAACCAGGGGCCTGGGCAAGAAATAGGTAGAGAAGAAGAAGAAGAAGAGTTTGGATTTGATATCCCGCCTTTCACTCCCTTTAAGGAGTCTCAAAGCGGCTAACATTCTCCTTTCCCTTCCTCCCCCACAACAGACACTCTGTGAGGTGAGTGGGGCTGAGAGACTTCAAAGAAGTGTGACTGGCCCAAGGTCACCCAGCAGCTGCATGTGGAGGAGCGGAGACGCGAACCCGGTTCCCCAGATTACGAGACTACCGCTCTTGACCACTACACCACACTGGGAGGGGAAAAGGGGGAAAGACCCTTGGTGGGCCTGGGAGGGGGAATGCATAAGGTTGTGGGCCAGGGTTAGAGTAGGTTTTAAATGGGTGGAAGCACCCTTGGGTAAAAAAATAAGTTAGACACCATCTTGTTCTTTCCAGTGTTAGAAACTCAGATATATAAAGCAGGTGCCAAATGGCACCTTACACCTAGGTTGCGGTCACCACAGTGAAATGTCTATTCGCCAGGTGGTTGGAATAGGTGACCCTTGGGGTCCCTCTCGACGCTACAGTTCTAGGATAGAAGTATATCTATCCCCCCTTCACTTCCAAATCATTAAAAGACTACTTGGAGTCATTCTGAAGTGGAATGATGGTTTATTTATTTTGGGGAGGAAATACAAATTGCTCCATCAAACGACTCTTTATGTTGAGCGTAATTCTCTATGGTATTCTTTAGAGGAAACTGTTCCACTCCTTAAGGCCATGTTCCGGACCAAAGCGCCAGCTGGTGTTCCATTGTAGGGTGGGGCTAGGGCCAGGCGGAGGTGTTAGCGTCTCCTGAAAGCGTATTTCCCAAGATCAATGAATCCGGGGCTTTCTGGCTAATACCCACGGGTGGGACTAGCAAGATCAGGGTGGAAGCTGCTATCTGAATGACGTTAGCAACTTCTGTTTAGCTGCAGAACCAAAACAAGAAGAAAGCCAAATTAGAGAAACCTCAGAGCAGCCCTGCTAGGTCAGACTGATGGCTCATCTGGTTCAAGGGTGAACAAGATGTTTCTGGGAAGTCCATCAATGGGCCACTCAGCCATCAGCTTTCCCCCACTATGGCCCACCACCCGACTTAAATTACTCATATTGCCCCCCCCCCATGCTCCAGTAAAGAGCCACCTAGTGCCTCTTGCTCTGTGGATAGGATCGTGATAAATATGCGCGTGCGCACACACACACACACCAGCTTACAAATAACATCAAAATACATTTTAAAAGCCATAATAAACAATATAAACATATCATTTACGGTGGCTTTTAAAATGTATTTTGATGTTATTTGTATGGTGCCTAGGAAGGATTTGTATCCTGAAAGGTGGGGTATTGATAATGGAAACCAATTAATAACTGGTGTTCAGAACCTCTTTGCCATTAAACCGCCCAGCTGCAATCTAGGAAGTCACTGGTTGAAATCTCACTATGCAGCAAAAAGCCACGTTCTCTCCAGCTCAGAACCTCACTTGCAATCTGGGGCTGAAAAAAATTCACAGGTCTGCTGCAGGGATTCCTAAGAGATTATGTGAGAAGCACACTGATCACTTGAAGTGCTACACAAATGCCAGGTGGCACAGGTATCATCAACTGGAGGTCCCATTAAATATTCTGGTCAATGGCCATTAATAGATCCTTCCCCCATAATTTTTCCCCCATCCCCTTTTAAAAAGAGGCTCACACCACATTTTGCAGCCGCAGATTTCAAATTATGCCTTGTGGGAAGCAATAGTTTTTTTGTCGGTCGTAAACTGATCAACCAGTTTTGCCAAGTTCTAATTTTGTAGGAAAGGGACAGATCCTCTCTACCCACTTTCTCAGTATGACACATATTTTACAAGTCCCACTTGCAGGGAAAGAGTGTCCGTCTCCCTCTGGACACTGCTGGATTCCAACTTGACTGCCTGACTACTGGGGTTGATGGGAAATGGGGCTCCCCCATCCCTCCCTTATTGTGTGTCTTCATCCCCACCCACCGCCATGACTTGAAATGAACTAAGAAATGTCGAACACTTTAATCTTTTCTCAGAGGGAAGATGCTCCAATTGCCTGATCCTTTGAATCACTTTTCCAGATCCACAAGATCCTTTTTGAATTCTGAACCCACCTACGTACGCTATATAATCTCCGCTGAGCACAGGTATTATGTAGCGTGTATCTGAGCACGTCTCGTTCCAATATACTTTTATCAAACTGAATAAAAGCCATCAACAGCTACACTCCCCTCCTCAGAAGAGATCAAAAGAAGCCAGCAAACCTGCTTTTGTAAGACACGAATTTGGACTTCTTTGGCAATCCAAGACAGGAGATCTGGAGGGGTCTGGAACTGCTGGGTCACAGCTGCTGTGCAGGATTACTCTGGGGGGGGGGGGTCTGCTTTATAGGGAAACCTGCAAATGTCATATACACCCCAAGCTACAGCCTATGCAAGGAAACTAAAAACAACATGCCTGTAATTGCTCTTAAATTAATGCAAATGTTACCAACTAGCTTTATAATACTAATAATAAATTTTCAGGGTTTATGGGAAGAATCAACAAAAAGAACCCCCTCAAAGGGAATGCCTGCAAACCACTTGTGACAAATTATTTCCCTGTCATTTGAAGAGAAAGAGGCCCATTCAGTGCCCTGCCATAGATCTCTGTATGGGAAACTGAATCCCAACCATTCTTGTAAACGGTAGGGTAGTGACAACTCAACCTCTGTTTCAAGACAACGATTCTCAAAAGACAACATTGTCCGGGCTACGGTATAACTGAGCAACTGCGTGAGAGGGCAGCCTTTCCTTCCTAGAAAGAGCTGGATGAATTCACAGCAGGGAAAAAAAACAAGAGTGTTCTCTGTTTTCCATTTACCGGTAACTCTGCAAAGAACGGAGGTTGGTGGAATCTCTTCCATAGGGAGCATCAA